GAAGGTCGCAGAAATCTTTTTGCTCTGTACAATTTCGCTATGTACGAATTTTGCTATGCATGTGTTTTAAATACTAAAAATATAATGTATAAGAGAAAATTTGAGACCTGAAAATCTTTTCACAATGTTCGTGTTTAGCTATGTTCGTATTAGTTGTGTGCATGCTAGACTGTATCTATATCATTAAATTTATATTTGGCGTGATGTTCCTACTTAATTGAAAGATGAGGAATGTACAGTATAATCCGCTTATGTCGACATGCTTTTGGAAATGGATTTGATGTCGATGTATAAAAATGTCGATAAATGAAAATATAAAGCCAAAAAGGAAAAACAAGGGGAGGTCAGCGGTAAAAGACTGTACTACTTTTTAAAGCTGGTTGCTTCCCTTGATTCTTGAAACTAACATGGGGGGAGGAGGGGTGTTAGAGTTATGGAACCAAAAACTGAGCAGCGCGAGGCACACACTACACACCAGGGCAAACTTTGTTGTAGCAGCCTAGAAAGGCCTGTTTATGGCCGCTTGCTGGGGAAAAAAGAAAGGCGAGGCACTGACTCGCTGACCGTGCCACTTGCCAGCATCAGACTGAGAATGGGATGGGGAAGGGGAGTGAGCTGGGAGTGAGTGATCGGGATTGGGGGTAGGGAGGTGATGCCCAGTGCGAGAGAGGCTCACGTCTGTGAGGCACTGTAGTTGTAGGACTACTGTGTTGGAGACTACACTGTGTAGGCCCTACATAAACTACTAAGACCTGGTGCGTCAATATAGACTACTTGGCGGTTATGCGGACTTAATAAATAACTTATGCACTGGACAGACAGACAGACAGACAGACAGACAGACAGACAGACAGACAGACAGACAGACAGACAGACAGGCAGGCAGGCAGGCAGGCAGGCAGACAAACAGGAACAATGCGTCTGTGTGGCTTTCCCTATAATTGTGCTAATGTTTTGACTTGGCCTGGTACTGTCAAAAATGCTGTAAAAACCTTCATGCTTAACGATATAGCTCTTGTTATGATCCAGTAACGAGGAAATGTGTCACTTTTACTTGCCTTCCTGGGATTCAGTTATTCAATTATCTCAAACAAAATATGGAAAAAGCAGGGGGAAAACATTCAAGAATACAATGTAGGCCTATATTGTTCTAATTGAAGTTTCTCATCTTACAAAACTATATAATAATGTACATACCTCATAACTATTCTATAAGTGAATAGCATAATATGTACTCTGCAATGTTGGAAGTGTTGTGTAAAAACTATTTTTATTTTCCTTTTCTCCTCACAGGAATGTTATCACAAGAGGAAAACGAGGAGGTATTAGAGCAACCAAAGATGAACACTCGACGCAAGTCTGATCGACGCCTGGGCGGGATGTTGCCTGAAACCAGGGAACTACTCGACCATTTCTACAGACCATTCAATGAGGAACTGGTTAAACTGCTAGGAAATGAAGGGTTTCTATGGAAGGATGAGGATGAGTAGATAACACATAATCTTCCTTCATAGTTGGAGTTGGAAGATGAGGATTGTGGAAGGATGAGGATTGAGGAAGAATAAGGATTGGATCAGTCATTATCTTCCTCCATTGTTGTATAGATTATCGGACGATGAGGATCAGTTCCTCTGGTATGATCTTCTTGTACTGTGAGAGGATAAGGAGTTGATCAGGCATCATCTTCCATTATTGTGAGAAGATGAGTATGGGATCTGATGATATGATGTTCTTACACTGTGGGAAAGGGGGGGGGGGATTTGTATGAATATATATATACAGTCTAGCATGCACAAAGTGAAATTGGAAGGTCGCAGAAATCTTTTTGCTCTGTACGAATTTCGCTATGTACGAATTTTGCTATGCATGTGTTTTAAATACTAAAAATATAATGTATAAGAGAAAATTTGAGACCTGAAAATCTTTTCACAATGTTCGTGTTTAGCTATGTTCGTATTAGTTATGTGCATGCTAGACTGTATCTATATCATTAAATTTATATTTGGCGTGATGTTCCTACTTAATTGAAAGATGAGGAATGTACAGTATAATCCGCTTATGTCGACATGCTTTTGGAAATGGATTTGATGTCGATGTATAAAAATGTCGATAAATGAAAATATAAAGCCAAAAAGGAAAAACAAGGGGAGGTCAGCGGTAAAAGACTGTACTACTTTTTAAAGCTGGTTGCTTCCCTTGATTCTTGAAACTAACATGGGGGGAGGAGGGGTGTTAGAGTTATGGAACCAAAAACTGAGCAGCGCGAGGCACACACTACACACCAGGGCAAACTTTGTTGTAGCAGCCTAGAAAGGCCTGTTTATGGCCGCTTGCTGGGGAAAAAAGAAAGGCGAGGCACTGACTCGCTGACCGTGCCACTTGCCAGCATCAGACTGAGAATGGGATGGGGAAGGGGAGTGAGCTGGGAGTGAGTGATCGGGATTGGGGGTAGGGAGGTGATGCCCAGTGCGAGAGAGGCTCACGTCTGTGAGGCACTGTAGTTGTAGGACTACTGTGTTGGAGACTACACTGTGTAGGCCCTACATAAACTACTAAGACCTGGTGCGTCAATATAGACTACTTGGCGGTTATGCGGACTTAATAAATAACTTATGCACTGACTGTAAGTTGTAAGCGTGGCTTCCCCTCCCCCCCCCCCCCCAATTTATGTTCGTGGGCTTCGCTAGGTACCCAGGAAGCATGTTGATAAAGCAGAGTGGGCCGCAATAAAGTCGATATAAGAGAAATTGTTTAGTGAAGATATTGAGGGAAAAATTTCATAATTGGAAAATATGTCGATATGTAAAATGTCAATAAATTGGACGTCGATATAAGTGGATTATACTGCACATGTACAGTGTAAGATCTTAAAAGTAAATCATGGAAGAGTAAGAAGAAGATCTGGTATGATCTTCTGGTCTTCCTATATTCTGGGAAGATTGGGAGTTTTCTAGCCTGATCTCCATACATCCAGGAGCTCAGTTTTATGATATTCAATTGTCTTAACTTCGCATTTCATGTCTCTCCAACATGCTTTTGTTATATATACATTAATGTGAAAAGTAAAGCCCTTTTCACCTGATGAAAAATACTGAAATTGGAGTGTGCTTTCTGCAACCCATTTTAAAAGCCTGTATTTTGCTTCTCGTTTCTAGTTGTCATCTCTTTTCTTCTACGTCTTTTTTTATTTTTGAATGGTCTATTTGATTTTGATTTCCTTTTTATTCTTGCTTTTTTTTTAAATTTCAACCCATCAATTTTCTGCTGCTCTTCTTTGCCTTCGGACTGCACTGTTTTGGTGTCGTCTTTCTCCTTTCTCTTGCTTTCTCCTGCCTTTTTTCTGATAGGCCTATACACATGTTGTTTGTTTTTTTAATGTTCAGACTTTCCTCTCCCCCATTTATCTCCGCTTGCTCTTTCTCTCTGCCTCCTCTCTTGCCATTGTTACCCAAAAAAATGTTCATGTTTGTTGACCAGGTTCGATTGTATAACATGTATGATTTTGTTCCAACAGAATTTTTTTGGAAGGGCAATGAATCATTTTTATTTACAACATTTGCCCTGGTGGTGTGAAAGATGCTTATGGTTGGTAAAACTGAAACCATATGAGTCATGACGAGGGGGAACCAGGCATTTGTCAATTTTTGGGCATGTGGAGCTATTGGAATCAGCCTAAAGTTTGTTCTTTTTTCTGTCTTTCAATGGAAAAAGTATCCATCTGTCTTGAATAGAAGTTAAGATATTTAGGTTTGAAGGAGGTGGGGTGTTTGTTTTTAGAGGTAAAATTAGCGAGAAAATGGCCCCCAAAGTTAGGTGAATTCCAATGCTTGAGAGTCTTTTTAAACATCAAATTTATATCTTTTGTGCTTTTAATCAACATTTTTAAATAAAATCCATGTGTTTTTAAAAGGACATGAAAGGTGTTGAGCCAAAAAATAAAATTTAGAGAAAAATTGCCTCGTGAGCGGGAAAAGACTGGTTTCTACGATTTCACTATTTTGACGAGCGCCTGATTTCACCTCGACGATGCCATATATGAGTGTCTATTAATATGCTTTGTTTTGAAAGCAAAATTTAAATAGTCAGTTTTAAGTATAAATGTGAATGTAAGTTTGAATCGAGCTACATCCCAAGGCATGAAAATCATACATTATATGTATTGAGCTTTTTACTTAGCTTTTGGATGAATTCTTCAGTACGGTAGTCCCTGCCTACATGCACAAAGTTCTAAGCACACTCGTTTGATTCTACAATATGCATTTTTCATGTATAAAGGAAGAGTTACTTCATCTGAACCGAACTTCATTCAACTAAACCTACTAACAGATATGGAGGGGCAGAATGAAAACTTACGAAGGCCTACGTCTCGTCCTGTAATGTCAACAGGCTAGTGTAGACAGCTGGATATTTGGTTGCATTCTACCCAGATATAACATGCAACATATTATCCAATACTCGTCACATTGAAATGAAAGTAACGGGTTGCATTTTTAACCTGTACCAAGCATCTACATAGCTTTGTGTATGAGATGCAAAAATTAAGAAAGCGTGCTGTTATTTTTAATGCGTAATAGACAATATATTTATATGTTGGTATGTAATTTTCCAAGTATGCGTCTATGGAAGATGGTCAGTTGCCTTGAGCTTGTTAGATGTAGCTTTGATGGAAAGTCTCAGAATGGCAACTAGTAAATAATTTATTTTATATTTATATATCTGGCAAATAAGAGATTCTACCTGAATACGACTAATGCTTTGAGTTGTTTAAATCCAACTGAAGTAATAATTAAAGTAAGTGACAGATAACCAAGGAGACTAATACCAATCATTATCTAACTCTTTAACCCATTAATATGAATACACACTTTACTTACAAAAATGGTTCTGAACCCTCTCGACCACTGTGCTTTATTAAGGCAGAGACTTTATTAGTATTATGTCATATGATGCTACACTCATAATTATACTTTTTTTTTCACAACATTTGCTTTAAAACCTGTGTATCCTTAAATCTTAAGAAGGATTAGAGTGTGAAAATAAAACCCATTCTGTTAATATCAGCAGCTGATCAAATGTTTCTGTTTGAAGAGAAAGAGTAAGTGTACTGTAAATGTTCTGCAATGATGATGTGTGTATTTTATGATTTTATGCATTTCAAAAGTGCCTTTTTACGTATGTTGCAAGCTTCCATCAGATGAGCTGGAAAAAAAAAACAGGTTGAAACCAAAGCATTATTATACTATTATAACACTGGTGTGCTTTCAGGAAGCATCTAATTTTCATAAACAGTTGATATATATGGCCTTTTACAAGTTCTCAGATATCCACTGAGTAATGCTTAATCTTTCAAAGGATTTTCAGCCTTGCAATTTTTGCAAGTAAAATCCCAGCTCACAATAATCTCTCTCCAGTTAAGTTACAGCAAGAACAAATGTTGTATGGATGTTTTTCATGCTCATCAAGCCATGTACCAAGACAATTTAGCAAAAAACAGAAAGGGTAATTTAAACAAAGGAAAAGACCTCCAAAAAAGTAAAGTTTGACTTAAACTTAAAGTAAAGAGAAGCCCTTTGACATGATAATGGCCACATAGTGCTGGGAAGAAGTTAGAAGAAAGGCTGATAGAAACAACAGAAGGAAAGAAAAGAAGTAGGACCTACCAGTGGCCTTCCCCAAACTTGCACAAATGAAAAGGGATGAATGATGACATCAAAGAGTGGAATGGAATGAACCAAGCGGAATGACAAAAAGTGGCATGGAAAAGAGAGAGGTGGGTGGCATAGAGTAGTGACCAAATTATTTTTTGACCAACCCAATAACATCAGACATGTGGCTGAATAGGTACAGAGAACCATGCTCCGCAAAAAACAAAAAAACCAACATTTATTTCAATTACAAGTCTCTTGTTTACAATGGGGAGGGGGTGGGCAGGTGGAACGGAGCCTCAAATGTCCTGTAGAGTAGATTTCTGAAATTAGGGTTCAATGGGTGAAAAGAGTTTGTTTGCTTTATCATACCTGTGGGGTAGGCTACATGTCGACACAGTCGTTGTTCATCCTCTCATATTATGTTCCGTATATTATTCATAAAGAGGCTTATTAAACGCATCATGTGTGGCATATGCTTGCTAGGTTCACTTCGAACAAAAATGTTTGTACCTGTATATGAAACATTGATCAAAATTGATCTTTGGAAAGGTGAGCTGCTTCAAACATCTGTAAAAATAGAGAGAGAGAGGTGAAAGCATGCTTTATTCAAAACCATTTTACTTTTGCTCTCAAGATACAGTTTTCATGCAAATCTGCATTGTGCTATCTCAATGTTTGAGATTTTTCCCCTTTTGTTATTGTAATATAAATCTTTTTACATTTTGTAAAACCGTTGAACAATGAACAATTTAAAAGAGGCATATCTTCTGCCCTGGCAACATTTACTATGTTTGCATGAGGTTCGATATTGAGGTTACTCTCTGCTTAACTTGTTTTCTATTTCATATGACAATGAAGGCAGCATGAGTGCACCCCGAACGGATAGTATATTTTTTTCAGGAAATTGTAATTACTTTTGTCAATGTAAATTGTAAACGGAGTGTACTTGAGCGATAATGTGAACAAAGTATTGTTTCAAGGAAGTTTTTAAATTGTACACAAATAATAATGATGAAATGATGAAAACAGAATGTGTGCATGTCATTCAATGCACAAGGGGTGTAAATAAGGATATATATATGGAGTGTTAAGTAGGGATGTACTCATTGCAACCTGGTTATTTTTTTTCCCGTAATGAGAGAAAAAAACAACTAAGGCTTTATTCATTTTTCAATTCATGAAGTGTTTATCATTCTAATAATCCTCTAAAAATCATTGTGTGAGTCATAATTGCAGAAAAATGTCTTTCTTTTCATTGCAAACACATGAAATAAGTGCAATTCTACGGCCAAGTGGTGACCATGGATAAAATTAATTTTGTGAGCCAACTTTTGTTTCGAAACTTCATAGAAATAATAGTAGGCCTATTAATTTTGAGTCATCTCTTTTACTCAGTTTCTCTATCCTTTAAATGCTCTTTAGAGCTAAAAAAAAAAAAAAACAACCCCAGAAATATTTCCTCATCTCTATCCAAAATGACAAATTTCCCTTCTGAAATGAAAAAAAAAGTTCAGATTTCACTTAGTTTAACAACACAAATGACAAATAATTAATCCTTGCTTTCTTAAAAGTAAAAACATTTTTTTTTTTTTGCTACACATCTTTATGTCCCCCTGCCCTATGTCATGGCATGAGGCCATTACCAGGAAAACCTGTCCTTTTCAAAAGACAAGCCTGTGTAAATAAAAATAGTGGGAGTGCATCCTTGTTAAAATGTGTTCCTGTACAAGAACATTATAAATTGGAGCTTGTCCTCTGAGACTTTTTTTTTTCAATGTCATCATTTTACCAATCACGTCCGGTAAAAATATTTTTGCTAGCTCTAGGTACTTGTATTTTGCTTTACTTCAGAAAAATCAGAAATAGTATGTAAACAAAATTCTCTCCCTCTGCCCCTTTTCTTGAATTACGTTGTTTCACATTGACATTTTTCTGTGAAATGATACGTTCTGTGAATCCTATTTGTGCAACAAAACTGTTTAGAAAGCAGCAAAGATTCTAGCCAAACATGACTGATGCTGTAATCTTCTTCATGTTATACATGTACAAGTAATGATCTTTCTTCTGGTGTCTACTTTAGATGTGAGATCCCGTTGTGTGTACGCTGAAGAGTTATGCAGAGAAGTACAGTGGGGTTTGTTTAAACTGACGTCTTCAAAGCCACCAGATTTTCTTAGGTTTAGTCAGGTTTTTTGTTTAGATAAGGTTGCTCAGTAGCGATTATTATCAACAGCATAGAGTTGGGAATACCTTTCTCACAGCAATTTCACTTTTTGAAAGTTTTTTTTTTATCTCTCTCTTTCAGTAAAAGTTCTGTAATTTGAACCGTAGGCTGTGTATATTGTGCTGTCTATTCAACATTGTCAGTTTGCTTTATCTGCCAAACAATCACACAGAACAGACGAAAGAGTAAATAATAATAGATAGCATTTGTATAGCGCAAATCCCCGCTCAACAGCAGGCTCTATGCGCTTTACACTATATTATTACCCCAGCAGACCATAGAACACTCCGAAACATTCTCAGCTTCCCGGAAGCATACAGTGCAAGCAGCTGATTAAGCGCTCAAACAGTAACAAACTGACAAGATCTTTCGCTGTCTATAGCCGGGTACCCATTCCCACCTGGGTGAAGTGAGGAAAATTCGTGTAAAGTGCCTTTCCCAAGGACACAACGTCGGGCCCCTGACGGGATTCGAACCCACGACCTTACGGTTGCGAGTCCGAGAGCCTAACCACTAGGCCACCGACGAGATAGAGAAAAAGAAAGAAAGCCCAATCTCGCTAACATCATGAAACACACCACATGCCGTCAGGTGCTCGTGTGTCAAGGTTATGTGAACTAGCATGGCAGAGACAATTGTCCTTGACCACCAATATGTACATTCACTATCCTTGCGTCACTAGGCCTTTACACAGTGTGTTGTCCTATTGATGTTTGAGGTACATGTAGGCAAACAGAATACAGGCAATGCCTCTCTGTGACCCTCAATCGACACACGTGAGTTCTTGTGTCAATTTCTTTAGTGCCATTATCATGAAGCACGTATGACTTGATGATGTGCATTACTTGAGGGTTGCTAGGACAGATTTAGACAACATAACCTTTGAAATTTTTTTTGGTTTAGAAATAGGAGCCTTTCAGGTTATCAATAGTGCTTTTACAAAGACAAAGAATTTTTTTTTAACGGCATTTCGGGTAAACAATGTTCAATTTAAGCAGACTCCACTGTGCATTGATGCAAGACAGGGATACAGTTTTATGTGTGATGCAAAAAGTAACTTATCATGTCTCTCTTTGCAGAGTTGTGTCTCAACTAATTCAATTATGACAACAGATTTAGAGATTGCTCCCAGAGCATAAACACTTAAATTCTGACCTTTCAAGCTTTTCTGTATCTTAGCCTAATTAGATTCCTATAAAACAAAGATTAATTGAAGGTATGATTGAAAAGTATCCATTGCTATCCCTTTTGTTGTGGTGATGTACTTCATTCATATAGCATCCATTCATTGCTCAACTGTATACTTATTGTCATTCAGTTTTATTATTAAAGCCATCATTCTGGAAAAAAAGAGGGTTCCTTTATTATGTTTCTTTTCTAGAGAACGATTTTACTAAGACACCCTACATTTGAATACAGTGGAACTCGGATTCAACAAGGTCGCCGGGCCTGACCTAAAATCTCGTTGAATCCAAGTGTTCGTTATAGCAAGCACGGGGTTTTGTGTAGATAATTACAGGCACTGAGCAAGTAATGTAAAAAGAGAAGTCACAAGTAGTGCCTGAAATGCCTGCATATTATGAGCTGTGTAAAAAAAAGACTCGATTCTTTCAAATGCACACGCCTTTGTCATCTCGATTGTTTACCAAAAAGTTGTGTTGCTGTGTAGAGCCTAGCATAGATTTCACAGACCAGCACACAATTCATTACGTAGATCTACGCCAGGACTAGATCTAGCTTATCATTGTAATAATAATCAGTTGCCGAGGGGGGAAAAAAGACTGTGATGCGTTTGTATCTGTGACGTTGGATGCCCGGACTGATGGTGACAACCCCCCCCTCGACGACACATACACACAGTCACACGTGTGCAGGCCGCCCATCCAACCCCGACACACGCCAGAGTAGACTCGTGCGCGAGCCAACAACGCATGTGTTGGAATGAAAAAAGACAGCTGATTGGTCGCATGCAATCGGCTAATTGAATAATGGTCACGATGCAGGTGCAATGGATGGTTTCCGGGAATAGATAAAGTTCGTTCTGAGAGAAAGATGAGCGAAGCGGCGTCTGCGTGGGCTGTTCACCCTGGAAGCGACCTCGTTGAATCCGAGCTCGCTGATTTAAGTGCTCGTTGAATCCGGGTTATTTTTATTGATTTTAAAGAAGAAAAAAAACGGGGAATCTATCTCATCTCGTTGAATCCGAGTTCTCATTGAATCCGAGCTCATTAAATCTGAGTTCCACTGTACTTTAAAAGTCAGTTAAAAGAGGACTGTCTAGCAGGCGTATTGCGAACATGCACATAGTGAGACTCATGATAGCAAACATATTTTTCAGGTCCCCAATTTTTTTATTTTCTTATACATTAAAGTTCATTGTATTTAAAACACATCCATAAAACAAAATTCGTATCTCCTCAGAAAAAGATTTCCGCCTCCCGCCTATTTTGCCAGGTGCGAGCTAGACTGTATGGTTGATTTAGATATTTTTGTTCAAGAGTTAAGCATTTATAATCCTTTTTCATGGTAAAGATACCATTCAAAGAGAAAAATCAACAAAGAAAAGCGACTTAAATACTGTTGGTTTAACAATTTGTGCTTTATCAACATTTGCATCCTTTTGAGTGATCACACAACCTGTTCCCGTGGTTTTATATACACCCCGCTTAATTTAGCAAAATTTTATCATTTTTGCATAATTCTGATTATTTTCCTTTGTCATTCTTTGTAAAAATAACAGAATCGCATAATTTCACATTTTGGGCATAATTTCAGATTCTTCTTTTGCATAAAACCGCGGGGACAGCACAACAAAAAAATTTACCCGAATTTTACTAAATGAATCCCTCTTTGCTACGAGTATTGAAAATTCAAATATCACTTATTTTTACTTATCACAAATAAATTTTACTCATCACAAACAAAATGAGACCTGAAGTCTATTGTTGGACTCACGATACATGTTATAGTGTGAAAAAGTTGATAAGAACAATTGTGAAGTTAAAGGCAAACCTTCACTTCACTGTTCAATGAAGATGGAGGGGGTTCTGACATATAGTCACTTCATCACCCTGCAAAGTTGTTTGTATTCATTGAAATGAAGACTGTAAATGAGGCATAAAACTCAGCTTTTCTTATGTGAAAATTAGAAACTGGTATATGACAAGGTTCTACATTCCTCTCCACACACCAGAGTCATTGAAAATGTCACGGGCAACTTTCCTCATAGATAATTGGGTATATTTTAAATATCCATATTTCAATCGACCTTGACTATTTAAAAAACATGATCTTCAAGCAAAGATCAACACTTAACAAAATAAAATGTTGTTGTTATCGAGCAAAAATTTTTGTTGCTGTTGTAGTGATCAATATCAGTGCAGTTCATTTAGACAAGATGAGAAGCATATGAATTTCATCAATCCATTCACAACATCTGTCTACCAGTTTGCAGCAGGTTTGGTATTCTATAATAACGAAACAAAAGAACCAGCTAACCAAGTTGCAAATACAGAAAGGTGTAACCTCACAAAATTCGAGTGGAAACAGAAAAAAAAGTAAGCAAAATTCGAAGATACAAACAAAAAAGGTTTAATGTCAAAATGGTCACTATATTATCATCACAGATGAAGGCATACTGGTCAATAGTACAATGAACTGATGATCAGGGAAGAGGGGCTTTTGTCAGGACACATTTGTTGAGCGTTCTTCAAGGGCTTTCTTGTACTTCTCCTCACACATCAGTTGGGCAATTTCTTTGTCAAAATGTTTCAATCCAGGGAGCATGACTGCTAAATATCCTGCGCCAAGAGGCTGGAAAAAATAATTTTAAAAAATAAACAAATTGAAATGCCTCCATGAAGAGGAGGAATCATAGAAAAAGAAGAGAAGTAATCACAATACGAGGAGCTAAGTCTCCACATTATACGAGGAGGTAAGTCTCCACATTATACAATGTTTTCTGTGTAAATTAAAATGGATAACTCAGATTGAGAAATTATTTCACCCTGCCACTGCACCCTAGAGACCTGGGTCTGCAGAGATATGCTGTAATTCTTGCAGACAATGGCACACACGTATCTGTTCTTTTTAGCACAGTTTTACATCTCATGAAGAAAGTTAACTCCTATGGAGACTTTTTAAAAGTTTGCAGCATCACCTGATATCAGAATGATAGGTTTATTTATGGATGGGGCATGGAAGAAAAGCCTGGAGAGGAGAGAGTTCTACAAGATGCAAATTGAGAGCCTGGTCAAGCCCCTGTCAAGAGTAAAATATAACCACACAGTGGAGTCCGCTTGAACAAAAATCTGTGGGACCACTGGATTTTTTTTCGGTTAAGCCGTGATTTCAGTTTAGAGAGACTGTTCAAATGGCGATGATTGTCCACAGCATCGAGTTGTGAATGCCATGCTTTAGGCAAATTTCACTTTTTGACAGTTATTTTCTCATTACCTCTTTCAGCACCTGTAATCTGAGCTGCAGGCTGTACAAATTGTGTTTTCTCTTCATCATTGTCAGCTTGCATAATTTGCTGCAGTCACAAAGAAGGGACGAAAGGGAAGATCAGCACACTAAACTGTACTGTAAGTGTACTGTGCTCTGCTCTAGGCCAGGGTGACAGAAGTGAGATAGCCTAATCCCAGCGATGCCAAACGTCATAAAACACACCACGTGCTGCTACATGCTATCACGTGTTCATGTATAGAGCCTATGAACTAGTTCCACACAGACAATAGGCCATCATCAAGTTAATCAACCGAAGGTCGCACAGATGTGCATTCGCTATTCTTGCAGTGCACCATTACAGGGCCTACACTAAGGCTGGGTGAGTACCCGCGTAAAGAGCTCGAAACCTGCTACCCGGGTACCCGGGTTTTCTATGCCCCTTCATTAATGCTATGCAAATGCACTTAAATTACGTCCTTTCGTTCGAACCTCATTAAGCACAGGCTGCTTATTGATACTGAGCTCTGTAAGTCGATACAGTACTCAATATTGGCCAATATCAACTAGTGTACCTCTTTTTCCTGGAAACCAGCAGACCACAAAAAGGAACACATTTGGGCATGTTAAGAAAGTTTCCAAGAACCAATTGGACACTTTGGTAGGGGTAGGCCTATAGTTTTAATATCAGAGTGTCCTTATGTATTATGGAAGCAACTTGTGTGCAGTTCTAAGAATCCGACAGAGAAGCGGAAAATTTCTAAGAATTATGTGAAGTAAAATACAGTCAAACCTGTGTAAGACGGCCACCCATTGTCAAGGAGAAAAATGGCCGTATAAGAAAGGTGGCCGTCTTAGGCAGGACTGATCAAGATGAAGAAAACAAACCATTCCCATCTGAAGTCCTAATCGAAAGTAGCCGCATTGTTTCTTGTTTTTGTTGTTGTTGGTTTGTATTTTGTTTGTTATTTTTATTTCGTTGCTGATTTTGTGCAAGAGTGACAATAAAACGAAATGTAACAGACGAGGAAGACTGAGTACCATGTTAAAACAAACACATGGGTCGCCACCACAGGCGAATGAGCGACGCGTTCATGTTGACGTCCATTGTTTCTTTGTTACAGACTGGGTAAACAGTGACTACGCATCTCACTTACGATTTGTGTATGAGTTCTGGGCGGGGCGTATGGGTTATGAGGGATCACATGCTTACCTCACCAGCTAGGAGGGGCCTACCCTACATGATCGGTTGGAGGGACTACCTAACAACAACGACAGGTGATTGAATTATGACAGCTCGCCCACAACGCCAGGGACCAGAGCACAATTTATGACAAAACGTAATGGAGTCACTGAGGTGGCCGTCTAAGACAGGTGTTATTGCTTAGTGTGATAGGGGTTGTGTGTTAAAATATGGTGGCCGCGGCCGCGTTGGACAGGTGCCCGTTTTACACAGTTAAATTATATAGAAAAAACGCAAGAGGGGAAATGGAAAGTGGCCATTTGTACAGATGGCCGTCTTATAGAGGTGGCCGTCAGGGCAGGTTCGACTGTAGTTTGAATAGCTTTGGCTTTGTCATTTTAGTACAGTTTCTATCAAGATGTCTCAAAGAAAGTCATACGCTTGGGATAAATTTGAGAAAATAAAATACGAAAAAAAGGGTCTCCTGCAACATCTTCAAAAGCATAATATTAATAAAAGTTGATGGGTCTTCAACTTCAAGCCTCTTAAAGCATTTGAAGGGAAAACACCCAAATGAAATCGCAAGCGGGCAGAGCAGTACAGAGACATCATATGATAAATGGAATGCCGGGGTATTCGGGTATTTTTTTCATTACCCGGGTGTTACCCGGATATCCAGGATATCAAATTACCCATATAATCCCAGCCCTAGCTAACACAGTGGGTAGACCTATTGCTGTCTTTGATCAACAAATGAAAACAGTACACTGGTGATGCCTCTCTCTGGCCTGCAATCAACATACATGTAATCTCATGTTTCTTTCTTATGTTTCGTTATGTTGAAGTTGGAGTAAATAAGGCCTGATGATTTGCGTTACTTGAGGGATGCCAGTGAATATATAACATAACCTTGAAATTCTTTCCGGTTTAGAAATTGGAGCATTTCCGCCAAATGGTAGTTTTCTTACAAAGACAAAGAAAGAAAAAAAAGAAGAGAATTCCTTTTTTTTTTCAGTTTATTGCTGTTTTCGGATTAATACTGTTCAGTGTAAGTAGACTTCTTTGTAATTTGCTTGTCCAACAAAGTAGAGCTTTCAAGTAAATTATGTAACAAGTTCCATACTCCAGTACCGTTAATTAAAAACCTGTCATCATACAGGCTGGACATAGCAAACAGCACATCAGCAGGAGGTACAAACTCTCTTATGACAGAACTACACATAACATAGAGATATATATTCATGTTCAGTGGAATAACAGTAATATTTACTTCAAAGCATTGTCTCAGACTTTTCTTCTTTTTTTTTTTTGTAAGTGTTTTGGCCCTCGCAACTGCATAAGGTCATATGAGCATGCGGGACACGTTAAACATTTTCAGTTGGTAGGAATTTTTTTATTTTGCACGTGTGGTGGACGAAGCCTACTCTTATCAATTTTGGGTACCAAGGGATCTTTAACCGGTGCAACTTGAAGACGGGACCTCCGAGATTTTCGCCCTTATCCAAGAAGGCTGGTGTAGATCTTACCTACCATAAGATCAGTGTTGTAGCTGAAAGACAGCAGTAAGAAGGAGCCAAGGAGTAGCAGTAGAAAGGCTGCAAAAAGAGACAGGAGTCCAAAGGAGGGGGCAAAGGAGGAGAAAGGGTGGGGGCAGAACATTGTAATTGTTAGAGAGCAGGAAAGGATGCGAAAGAATACAATTTTAGAGGTAAATTTTCTGTCCCTATCCCGATTCGAACCTGGGACCTATTGAACGAGAGGTGAACACCTTAACCTCTAGACCACGAAAGCCCTTGTCTCAGACTTCTCGGCTATTATTATTCTTCCTCTTTCTTTACCCTGATCCCTGAGACAAGTGTCACATCTTTGAAATCATCTGTTTGAGTCTGGCAAACTACAACAAAAATAAACAAACACTTTGAAAAGTAGCCTCTCTACAGGATGAAGTTTAAAGCTTAGCGACTCTCCAAATAGATTAAATTTAAAAAATAAGACTTGTGCCTTGGTGACTGGTCACCCGACACATGACACATTGGCTATGGCTGTAACAGCTGAGCTAACAGGGTCCACTGACAAAGTCATATAATCACGATCTCATTGAGGACTCAATCCTCATGTACTTCTTACAAAACATGATGTGGGATAGAATCTGCAGCCAACAAGGAAAAAAGCGCACTATTGCACTATTGTTTCACCTCACTCAGTAAAGAAAGCATACAATAGCACACCACTGAAAAACTCATTTGACAATGAGACAACAGGAGAGAGGTGAGGTTTGAGAGCTTGGACATTGACAGCTCTATAAACTGAAGTGAAAAGTCCCAATCAGAATTAAAATAAAGAATACATGTGTCTCACACCAAAGCAAAGCCTTCTGGATTCAAGCCATTGAAATACTATGTCATATCACACTATCAGGGAATATGATACTAACAAACAGCATAATGATAATTACAAACATTAAGGGGGAGGAGGAGGGGGGAGGTTAAAGAAACATTGATATATTGCAATATCCCACATTTCCAACAGAACCTGTACCTCCAGAAAATTGTCAATTGGAAAGCATTCATGAAAAAAAAAGGAACCTGAAGTATGTCCCAGATTTTCTGATAGCATACCGAGCGCCAGGTCTTGAGAAAGTATGAAACAAAAGGAAGAAAGAACAAAAGACAGTTTGTAAAGTATGCCTTACACTTACCTTCTCTGTGAGAAGACAGGGCTTTGTGATAAGATTTTCATTGACTTCGACAAGCTGACCCTTGACACAGCAGTAGAGTGTGTACTTTGATTCATCACTACATGTTACCTCACACAGCACAGCTGTTGGACCAAGCCATTGGGCGCCCTGTGAAAGAGGTGATTAAAGTAGAGAAAATAAACAAAACAACCTAATTTATTCATCGTGTGGAAAATTTGACTTTCGGTGGTGTAAACATCCACAGCATACACTATTACATGATCACACAAAGTAAAATTATTTCAAAATCACCCACACAAGTGCCTGTGCATGCAGGGTAGGACCCTGTTTCGAATTAGGGTTTAGGAGTCCTGCCAATAGATGTCATACCTCAATGGGCACCATCTAGGACCCATCTGTTGTTTGATAACTCCCACATTGTATTCACTAGACATTCAGCAACTGGGACTGCCAACATACATTACACGGAGTATTTCTTCGTCGTCACTCAACATTATATACTGGCAATCAAAGGAAAAGGTACCACTTTTGGTTGGGTATGAAATCTAGTCTTTTTAGTCTTTATGCTTTTCCTTTGATAATAATAATAGATAGCACTTGTATGGCGCAAATTCCCGCTCAACAGCAAGCTCTATGCAAGTTGCAATCAATTTTATTACCGCAGCAGACCTGATAGCATTCTGAAACAATCTCAACTTCCTGGAATGCATACTTTCATGTGAGTTGTAATATTAGGCCAACTAAGCACTCTAAAAAATGGGTCACGTTAAAAAATATATATATTTTGGCGCTTCAATTAGTATTCACAGCCCCAACATTGAAAAATAGGAAATAAATATATGCCTTTCTCCAAACCACGTGGTGGATTTTTTCTATTCTTTGTTTTTTTTAAAGAAGTATAGGTCTGTATTTACCAAAAGCCATGATAACATTATTTTGATCATTGTCACCCGAGAAAGACAGTAGGTTTAACTCAGAATCAGTCAGAGAAATCATTGATTTCTCTTCAAAATTAAAAAAAAGAAAATCAAGTATGTTTTATAGACTTTCATGAGGCAAATCAATTGGTTATAATCCCATTCTTCTTCTTCAAATAGTTTAGGATTTAATCGAATAAAATATTTTGCATTAAGATAGTGTCTTGGACAAAATAAAACAATTTTTTGCTGCTCCTGAACACCTCGTATTTTAATATAATACAACGTTGAATCACAGCAACAATTTGTTCAAAATTAAGTTTACACTTTTTAGGTATTGGTAAGGATTGGGCTCTTATATTACAATTATATTAGGGCTTGTTCGTGGCCTATACCCAAATGCAGAGTGAGGAAGGCAATGAAGACGATGATGACCATTAAAATATATATAAAAAATTATTTCAATTTCATCAAATGTGAAAACTTCTGCCTCTTACATTGGGAAACAAACAATATGTTCAAACATACATGTACTTATTTTCGCAGTTAAAAGGGTATAATAATAACACTAACCCTTTTCGCTTTTCCAGACATTTTGTTATCCATTCGATTGGAACCCTTAACTTCAAAGTCCACTTTGATGACTTCTTTCTTCTCACTGCAAATGGGATGTGACTCAGCAATGCATACTACACAAACTCTGTTGAAAAAGAAATAATAAAAGATCAAATCAGTCTTTAACACTTTGCAGTCACTTGCCACAATGATGCCACAGTGAAAGTTATCTGTTCCGGTCACTTGACGCAGTTTGTGACAGACCCGAGAAGTCCATTGCAATCACTCTCCTGGCTGGGTGACCAGATGGGGTATTCTGTACTGCTGGCTGTGTAGCTAAAAAGTGTTTAGAGAGCAAAAGACAAACCAAAATAAAAATTATTTGCACCATTTGTGTTGGTTGGAAGCTTATAACACTATTTGAATAAGGACCATCTCTTCACAAAAAATGTTTTTTTTCTATTGTATTTGTATATATTCTACCCTGCAATGAACTGTATTAAAGACAGTAAATTTTAAAAATTCAGCCCAATCCATCACTAGTGTGACGTTATGAGGAAAATTTTCAACTTGTCCGAGGAGTCACCAGTGCAGCATAAAGCCCTATTAGGACATGTTTATACATCTCATTCATTATTTTTAGAGAGAATATAACAGAAGGCATTACTTGAAAGGCAATTCCTTACAAATTTTGGGTTACATTTCTATTCTTATTTCAAATGCGTTTTTAATTTTGAATCTTCACAATGAATTTTTAAATCTAAACATTACTGAAAATGCTCCTAGAGCAGTAAGACTGTGTGTCCTCCCGAAAATTGTGTAACATGCAAATATTCATAAAAGATAGACAGCAAAGACAGTGACAAAAATGAAGAATAAACAAGAATATCAGAGCACCCACCAACTATAATTTATTGGTACAGAATACCATTTAAAGCACATAATGACATTTATAATAATATTACATGCTTTGTTATTTTTTAAAGACTTTCAATAGGTATTGAGGAAGGATGGTGGTATACCATAGTGCAGAAACATGAAAAGAATTTTTAGAATTTTATGTATACACATCTAAAATTACACAACAGAAAGAGGGAAAATGTATCTTTTCTACAAACTAACACCGTAAAGCAAGAAAAATGTTGTAGACCTGTCACATAACAATTAATAAATGAAGGGTCAGCTTTTCAACAAAACCCATGTCCCACTCATGCCACACTTTTAGAATATTGATTAAAAATATCCCACTTGCCTGTTGGAGTGAGTTAACACAACCTGATCTTCATATTTCTTGCCTTTCAAATCTGTGGAAGAAAAAAACTAGCAAATAAATTATAAGTGGAATTACCAGGAGATCCAAAAAAGAGGGAACTTATTTTTAAAAAACAGAAATGGCATTATAAAGAAAAAAAAAGCCCAGTGACACTGACAGAGGCGTCATAAAACACGCCCGCACTGCCACATGCTCATGTGTAGGGCCTATAAATGTCCCGACTGGTCAATATCAGTCATATGAAGGAAATTTCAAAACTGAGTTAACATATTTTCAAAAACTATCACTTTGCCCTTGTCTCAGACTTCTCGGCTATTACTATTCTTCCTCTTCCTGATCGCTGAGACAAGTGTCCTGTCTTTGAAATCATCTGTTTGAGTCTGGCAAACTACAACAAAAATAAACAAACACATTGAAAGGTAGCGTCTCCACAAGATGAAGTTTAAAGCTTAGCGACTCTCAAAATAGATTAAATTTAAAAAATAAGACTTGTGCCTTGGTGACTGGTCACCCGACACATGACACATTGGCTATGGCTGTAACAGCTGAGCTAACAGGGTCCACTGACAAAGTCATATAATCACAATCTCATTGAGGACTGAATCCTCATGCACTTCTTACAAAACATGATGTGGGATAGAATCTGCAGACAACAAGGAAAAAAGCGCACTATTGCACTATTGATTGTTTCACCTCACAGCCTGCCACTTCAACCATACTATCGGCACCGGCACGTAACAGCCCAGATGACTTTGAGGTTACTCTGCCTTTGGAGGAGGAAATCAATACGGGACATGAGTTTGCGACTGAGCCAGTCAATGAGGAGCAAAGGATTGCCCCAAGCCCTTCCTCTCAGCCCCAACCCCCAGAGGCACCTCAGGAGGCAAAGAAAAGTCTTCCCGCAGCCCTGAAACGCCTTCTCCCGCACAATAAAGAGGGCTTACAGGAAGCGGTCAAACCTCAGGAGCAAGGGGGGAGAAAACCAAGGGGTGTTGGAAAGATCTGAACATGCCATGAACTTGGGGGGATGTATGGTTATTTGTTATATGATATTAGTTCATGTTCTCTGTACTACGTTATGTGGTGTACCCCATATTATTTCATGTTATGTTGTACCTGTATCATTCATTGTCCCTGTTAATCCGTGTTCACAGATGAAATCATCATCTACCGTATTTATAATAAATGAACTACACTGAGAAGTCTTTCTTCACTTACGACTGATATTGACCGGGGCAGACAGATATGTGAACAAGCTTCTCAGACAATAAGAGGCCATTTAGGCATAAATGTATTGACCAAAGGTTGAGCAACAAACAAAAATCGGCGCCTTTTCGGTAGTTCTGACCCCCTTATTTTGGCCTATTTTATTCTAAATTCGCAATGAGCGCGATTCTGTATTAGCCATTATTCAATCTAGGCCGATATCAGTAAAGTTTTACATGATACGGGTGATTTTTCGTGTCTCTACCCTCAGTTCTCTATCTTGAAGCATGTAATACTTGTTGAATTAAGACAACGTAACATTCATTCTATATTACTTCTGGTTTTAAAATGGTGGGAGTATTTTGACTTAGAATCGATCATTTTCTTACAATCAAACAGCAAAGACAAAGAAAAAAAGTAGGGCAAAGACGAACAAAAATATCATTTTTTTAAAACAGATCTATCTCCATCATAAAATAAAGAACCAAAATAATCAACTTACCGATTCTGAAATGTTTTTTGAAGTAGCGCTCAACAACACCTGGTGGTGGTTTTTCTAAATTTGTGCTTTGTTGTGTTTCTGCCATGATAAATCTAGATACCTAGAAGTAGAATTTATTTATATTTGTAGAATAATTGAAGATACTGAGACTAGGTGCCCTGTTACCGTGTACGTAGACACTGAGACTAGGTGCCCGGTTACCGTGTACGTAGATACTTAGACTCTAGGTGAGACTAGGCTAGTAGGTGCCCGGTTACCGTGTACGTGTAGATACTAAGACTAGGTGAGTGCCCGGTTACCATGTACGTAGACACTCCGTTTATTTATATTTGTAGAATAATTGAAGTAATCTGATCACGGCCTGGACAGTACTCTAGGTAAGTTTTAGTAGTAGTAGTAATAGTACAATAGTACTAGATCTAGTACTAGAATCTAGTAGTAGTAGGCCTAGATTCTAGCCCTAGAAGAGTCTGTAAGAGGTTAGAATCTAGATTTAGATGTATATCTAGAGTTATATCGTGGAATCGTAAGGCCGAAGGCGTATCTCAGGGAAAATTCCTTTGCCAGTTGAGAAAAAAGGCTGCAGAGCTGTCGCTTGCGAGCACAGCGACGACACAACTGACAACTGCCAATAAATTGAATCTAGATCTAGAGATCTAAATCAGAGCCTTCAAAATATCTTAGAGTTATTGCTCTTGTCACTTTCGGTTTTGTTCGTTTTAAAAGGGGGTGTCCATTAATTTGCGTTCTTTTCCAACAAAAATATTTTTTTTATTATGAGAAAAAAAACTATTGGATTGTATACACTTGTCAAATATCAGAAACTCTGTATTTCGAATCGAATTGGATTTTGGTAAAGGATATTAAATAAGGGAAATACCAATAACAATGTTGAATGTTTAAACTCCTGCAGAGAGTTATCACCTAGCCTAGAATAGTTTACCATACAAATGTACGGATCATCCCAAATTTGAAAAACAATGAAAAACTCGACTACCTTAAAAAAGATCGTTCTAAGAATCGATACTTCTTTGTAAAATCAACTTAGGCCTTCGATTCTAAGGATCGTTCAAAATCACAAGGTGAAGTACAAAAAGTCTCAACACAAGAAAGTTTTCGATTTTGTCAACTGATCCCATCATTTAAAGCTTCAATTATTTATTCAAAGATTACTATGATCTTTGCCGATAGCAAGTAGGCCTACTCTTCCTTCAATCGGACAACAATGCGAACTCCACCCAGCTCTCTAAATGTAACCGGATACAATGTATAGTATAGGCTAATAGCAGACTTTAATGAATGGTGATCATCAGTTACAACGTTGTCTTTCCTCATTTCTTCCTATCATCAAAGTGTTCTAAAACTTACTAGTTTTGAGACGTATACGCCCAAATACCTGCAGCTGCCGCAGTGCCTTATTGTATTGAATTTATTCAACACATAATGACAACAATAGAGATAATCGAGAGGCCTATATATCATCATAGGTATAAACTTATTTAAATCTTAGAACCTAGACGAAACATATCTAGGCCCTATCCCATCATAATCCTGTCTGTTATGCATAGGCATAGGCCTATACACAAAAATTCTCAAATATTCTTCTTTTGCTAGGTCTGAACAAACACAAAGCCTAGCACAGATCGTCCCGCCACTCATTTCCCTAAAATAATAAACAGGCTCTTAAAAAAAATACTGTACCTACATATCCTGGTCTTTTCCTATCATTTAATTGTTCAAATTATCTAACTCTATCCTATAAATAATGTATAAATTGGGATATCTCGACCTTGATTTCTTCTATTTTTCCCATTGCAATCCTTTCATAAGCAAAATAAAAGTCTTCGATACCATTATCAATTCCAATAGTCGTTAAAAATAATATACGGTATCGAGTGATTGGTATCGATATAGTGCCGTTTCCAGCGGAAGATTCAATTCAAACTTACGCTTACAACTTACGACGTAGTCTACTCTACTCTTCAAGCAATGCAGACGGCGTAGATCTAGATTAAGAGGCGAGCTCGTAACATTAAAACTAAATTCTAGTCCTTACTTCAATTAGATCTAGCGTGGATCAAAACCCCTGTCATCACTGATCAGACACATTTGTACCCAAGGCCAAGGCGAGAAAATCTGCGGTGAGTTCTCCAGTCCGTTGCCGTTGGATTGGACTTCCGTAACGAGCGACCACAACTATGAATGAGACTTGTAAGGAAACCGGCTAGGTTAGACGTCTAGATTAGATTCTAGTAGGGTTTGGGTTAGACTAGGGTTGGATCTAGATCTCTTCTTTATTGTGTTTGTTATAGTGGCCGCTCATTACGACTACGAAAGTCCTTCATACTTCATGCGTCTGTAATTCTCACTGACTTGAACTCGAATTGCAAAAATGAAACCAAAAAAAAGTCAACACAAAGTCAAAAACTTTTTGAAAACGGAGTGTGTACGTACATGGTGACCGGGCAACTAGATCTAGATCTCTAAATCTAGTCTCAGTATCTACGTGTACACGGTAACCGGGCACCTAGAATCTAGATCTAGTCTCACCTAGTCTCAGTATCTACGTACACGGTAACCGTTACCGGGCACCTAGTCTCTGTATATCTAACACGGTAACCGGAATGAAAATAATAAATATTTGTCCTGTGCTGGGTTTTTTTTTAACTTATATATGCACCCGTCTCATGTTCACGTGTATAGATCTACTTCTTTTCTAGTACTTAGTAATTTTTGCATCTACATGAATATATGGTCTTCATTTTCGCCACAAATCATTGATGTTTGAAAATAGTACAATAATATGGGGGGTTTCAGGGGGCATGCCCCCTGTATTTCTCAATGATTTGATGTTTTGGCAATTAGGATTGATATTTACTTGAAAACAATTTAACGAGTGCTTCCCATGACAGAAAAGAAGGCAAGAGTAAGGCAGAACAAAAAATTAAACCAAAAAAATCAGACTACTCGTGATCAAAATCGGGATGCTTGAGATTTAGGGCAGGGATGAGAGGCAGGTTCGGAAAATAAATTGATTCATTATTCTTCAAGGCCATCCCAGGGTTCATTCCAGTCTTTCCACACTTTCAATGACGGACAATTCATGTTTACTAGTGACTAGTGTGTTAAAGAAGGATCGGGTAATCTCACGGCAGGGGTAAACTCAAGGCACGACACCGGCAAATGTGAGCGACCAGAATGTGTGTGGAGCATCTGTGCTAAAGCAACCTGTGTTGCCGCAAAACTGCACGCCGCTGATAAGTAGGTCGACTAGTCGACTTCTTCTGACAGAGAAGGTGACTGTCGTGCATGTGTGTGAGTGTGTCGTCAAATCATTGACTCGGCTTTGGGATAGAGAAGGGGGGAAATGATTCTTGCCAGACGCACACCACCTACATTAAAGCGTATGCAAACCCCCGAAATGAAATTATAAAAAGTAAAGTTCACGTGCAACCAAAACTTAAAGGGGGTAATCTGCAGGTGCAATGCGTAATATACGCACATTTGTGCGTAAAGGGGAGCCCTGCACCTTGTGTTTCTTGTGAGAAGAAACAGGTCTGTTGTTGCTTGACAGTCCTATCCAATGTGTCTGTATGCCTTGTTTTCAGCTGAATTGATCTGTCATGAAGAAAGAAGCTGTAGTTTTCTGGTGTATGAGTAGGCCTACCGTACAGTAGACTTTGTTTATAAAAGTTGAAGTGTGACAAAGTTGTATATAATGTCACAGCATTTCATCATTTTTCACTGTTTAAATACAAAAGAACAAGGGTTTTTCAAATTTTCCATCGTCTTTGTTGTTCTGTGTAGTGCAGCTTTTCTTAACACACAACTAAATAGTTTCAGCAAATCTGGTTAACCTAAAGCAAGAAGGAATTTTGGGCCATCATCATTCCTCCCACCTAGATGACCCTTTTCCCATGTTTTCATTCACAACAATGGCAATGTTAGCTCACACACAAGACACGGTCACCCCCCCCCCCCCCCCCCCCCCCCAATCAAGTTTTCTTTCCCACATGGTGATGAGAGAGGGGCTTTGTTTCAAGCAAAAGAGACACTGGGAAGCTGCCAACCATCTCTAATTTATAATTGAGATTGCGATTGTCTTTTTTTTCTTCGGATATATCTTTTTTATAAATATAATATCAGTTTTATATTTTGGTTATATACTGTTTTTGTTCAGGCTAGAATGAGTACAATGATTGTAGTAGCATGAAAAACAATCACGGAAACTGATACTTACAACTTCCCTTGAAACCTCATTTTGTGTGGTCAAGGCATCTGTTTAAGCTTGGAATAAGTTTTTTGTTGTTGTTGTTTTTTTATTTTCAAAAGTTGGCAGTTCTGCATAAAATGCTTTATTATTCTTTTCATTAACACTCTCCTTAACATGAAGAAATTCTCTGGTCCGAAGAAGTTCATATTAATTATATCCAGACTTTACTGTACTTAGTTGTTGGTTGTTTTGGGGGTGTTTTTTGGGTAAATGGGGCAGGGGATTGTTGGGTTTTTTTTTGGTTAAAATTATTCTCTTCCGTATATTTTCATAAGGGTGAGAAATGGAGATACCAACTGATGAGAATGCTCTTGAAAATCTCCCCAAAGTCTACTCTCTTGAAAGAGCCTCCAACCCATGCAAGTCTCCATTGAAACCAGTCAATGATGAAAGACGTCTTACTGGTACTCCAAGGGTATGTTTTTGTCATAAATGTAAAGTGTTGTTTTGACTTGCTGCTGTGTTTTTTTTCCATTCTTCTTTCTTTTCAATCTTTTTTTTTTTTTACTGTAAATTTGATTGTATACCATGAATATGCTCATATACATTGCAGAGGGTGTTTCTGGCCCCTTTAGTAAGATTTTTCTTAGTACAGTCGAGCACAGATAACTCAAACATGCAAAACTCAAATTCATGGACAGCTCAGACAATACGCCATTCCTGGAATGAATACCTTTGACCCCAAATAAGACACATTTATGCACTATCTATCCATCCATCCTTTCCGTCTATCAATACTGGGTGTGAAATGCAAAATCATACAGGTTTAACACCCCTTGCAACACTATGAAGTTATTTTTAGGAGGCCAGACCTCCCAAATTAACGTTTATTATCTCCAATAGGACCCAGCTAAATGGGAACATATGATATATAAAGTGCTTTTCCCAAGGACACAACTTTGAACCAAACCCGCAATCTCACAATTACTACATTTACAAGTCCGATAGTCTAACCGCTATCAATGCCACATATCACATACATACTTTTCATGATGGCTATGATTTAATTTCTGTCCATTTTATCATCACAGTGGCTTCTCCTGATTTTCTTGAATATATCTGTTATTTTCCGTTTTATTGGTTTAATCGAATTACGGATGAGCCAAACACATTTGTCAGCTACTTCCATGTTTGAGATATCCATACTGGACTAGTGATAATTTTACTTTAGGTATAAACAAAAACTTGTTAAATAATTAGCCAAAAGATAAAAAATGTTATTAACGCAACTTCATAATAAAAACTACTACTGCATCGCAGACAATCCCCTGGTCTGCCTCTATTTTAGGGATGTGTTATTTACATTAATCTTTGATTCCAGTTCGTTACTTAAGTGGCATTTTAGGTTCCGCCAGTCAAGTGGCATTCTGGGGGTACAAATTTCCTCAACTCCGAGATCCACACCTGTTCCTGTCCTACATTTACTACCTATTTTCACCTATATTAAGATTCTCTGGCCAATTACAAATAGTTTGACTGCTCACACAAACGAATCCATCAATTGGGTGTGTTGAGACTTAAATTGTGGAATCCTTTGCATACTGAAAGAGTTAAAAAGTACTCTCTTTTACTTGACCTAGTTTTTGTAGTATCTATGACTCATACTAATAAATCCTCTACTTTTTAGATTTAAGCCTCTCTACTATTGGAACAGATTCTTTACTTTCCATTATTGAACAGCAGCCTATGAAGAACTTAAGGGTCACAAACAGATCTGAAGTGATTTTACATAATTAAATGTTTTCAGATCTACTTTACAATAAAGTTTATAACGACAGAGAGATCTTGTTTTGAGAAAGCTGTGTTCTTAATTATTTTATCGCTGTGTAGTCTGAATGTTAATGTACTGACTGACTATAAATTTTCTTCTTGTTTTTGGGGGGGTTTTTGTTCTTCTATCTGTAGACTTCAAGCTAGTATGGAATTTTTTTTTTTTTCAGACCCAAGAGAAAGATAACAAGACGCCAACATCATCACCGTTCACGTACATCCGGCAACTAGATTCTGCTGAGCGTTGGATCGAGCGTACCAGCATAGTGACCAAACAAGATCATGCTTTGAATCTTGAGCATGCTAAGGATATTCTTGATACTTTGATTTCATCACTCCCTGTATATGAACAAGCTAATAAGTGGTGAGAGAAACTAATAGCTTTTCATATTATTTTTAAAAGAGAGAAAAAGATATATAAGATATTTTGAAAAGCCAAAGCAATAGTACATTCCTAGTATGTTGTTTGATTGCTATGGTGTTTTAGAACTCGGTAAATTTTCTAGCTATTGATTCATGCTGCACTTTGGTCACAAGGAAAATTTTACTGGTCCTCTTGCTTGTGCTCTTTTTCATTTGGGTATGCACGAATAAGTGATTTGAAAAGTCATTAGATGTTGATGTTTCCGTTTTTCTTCCCTTTTTGCAATTTCTTGTATGTTGTTTGGTTCTTTTTATTGCATTTCATTTTTAAGATCTTTGGATTGTGATGTTGAGTAATATTCAACTTGAAAAAATATATAGGTTGTTTGCTTTGTTCTTATTGGAGTCTTATGAATACCTTTGTGAATCATTTCAGCCTAAGTTATCTTTTTTACCTTTTATATTAATAGGAATGTATTATATAGCCCTTATATAAATGTTGTTGGATCATGATGACACTCAACCTGTTGTTTCAAATGTGTTCATATTTGTTATTATTTACCTCAATATATTTAAATCATTTAACTAATTGAAAAACGTCTTTCTCCACCAGGCTCTCTGACGCTGCTGTGAATGGCGACTCTCCAAGGCCGCGTCCTGTTGACAAACCAGCAGCACAACAGACTGCCTCAGCAGTGGATGAGCTGGCGTCTCTGTTTGGAGAGCTGGACATCACACCAAAGTCTGTAGAGTCACCTCAGGCTGGAACTACACAGACAGAAGTTGTGAACCAAAATGTTCTCCCAGGGGCCAACTTGGGGACAGCACAAACAACACAACTTGAAGCAGATGACAGTTTTCACTCTGCATTAGATGAAGATGATGACGCTCTGCAACTTCAAGAAGAGAATTGTGAGCCAGAACAGGCACATTCTTCCCCTGCTGAAATGTCTGTAGAGTCAGGCCAAGATCCTTTTAAATGCAGTAAACAGTTGATGAATTCCCCTACAGTTACACCTTTGTCTGTTTCAGACAGTTTTAGACCATCCGAAGCTAACAGTTTAGAAGCAAAACCTACTGAGACAGAAAACTCGTCTGAACATGAAAAGGAAGAGGATTCAACTTCTGCACATTCTTCTCCAGATGCTGACAATGAAATTCAAATAACTCCAGTTAATGAGAGAACTGAATCATCTGAAATCAGTAAACCACATAAGGAAGCAATTGATTCTTCAATTCATCCTCAAATTACGCCTGAATGTGCTGAAATCGCAACTGAGAACTCTGAGGTCTTCACTGATAACCCCTTTCAGTGTCGCAAACAATTGCAAAATTCACCAGTTCTCTCTAAGTCTGCTTCTCCAGACAATGTAGCATTGGTCCAAGACTCTGTGCTGAATACTTCCTCTGATGGGGTGCTTAAAGTGCCATTTGAGCCAGAAAGTGAGTCGGTAATTTCCCCTTCAGCCCTGGTTCTTGAGAACATCAGAGATGTTTGTGGTGAAGATACAGCGGACCTAACAGTTGACCCTTTTAAACCTTCCCATCAAGTTGCCAATTCACCAGCAGTTTGTGACAGGCAGACAGGAAGTCTTGAACAAGAGGAGCTTCATGGTCAAGTCCTCGGGGTGGACAGGTTGCAGACTACTAGTGCTGCTGAAAGTACACATGATGAGGTCAAAGAAGAAACCATTTCCCCTCCAACGCTTGCCCCTGAGACTGAGTCATCTGGGAAAGTGGAAACTGCGAGTGGCCTGGATATCAATCCATTTGAGACAAAATCTCAAGTAGCAAACTCCCTTATTTTTAACAAGGCAACAGAAGATGGTAATGGAATAGAATGCGACTCTTCTTCCTTGAGTAGTACAACACTAATCAATGAAACAAATTTAGCTGACCAGGAAGAAACTCTGCTTGATGTCAATCCATTTGAGACAAAAACTCAGTTAGCAAATTCTCCTGTTCCGGGTGAGACATTGAAAGACAATGATGGAAAAGAAAGTTATGCCTCTTCCCACTTCAGTACAATGGAATGCAGTAAAACAGAATCACCTGCTCAGGAGACAGTGCAGGGCTTAGATGTCAACCCATTTGAGACAAAAAGTCAATTAGCAAACTCTCCTATCCCCAGTAAAATCTCAGGAGGTGGGGATGAAAAAGAGGTTGATGCTGATCCATTTAAGCCAAGATTTCAGGTTGCTAACTCACCAGTTTTGCAAGAAACAAGCACTGATTCTTCAACACCACAAGATGCTGGAGTTGCAGAAGCAAATACTGATACTGAAATATCTTTACAACAAAGTTCCCATAATTCAAACCTCTCCCCACCAGAAAAGGACAAGAAAATGGAGACAGATGTCATCAGTATTCCTGCTTGTCCAGAGAGTACAAAAGGATCCCAGTGTTCTGATAATATCCTGGATACTCCAGAGCCTAGCCATTTGCCCAAGGCAGTGACTGCTGAGGATTTGGTGCCAGTTGTTGAAATGGATACGACTGGGGCTCATGTGAATCTCTCCCACCCAGAGAAGGAACAGACCACATCCCCAGTTGTTCAAACTCTGTCTTCTGATTCTGACGAAAGTGCTATTACAACAGAAAAGAATGATGCTGCCATGGCTGAGGAGATGGAAGATACGTCGGATCCTTTCAAGCCCTCATCACAACTGACCAATTCACATCATGTTGCAGATACAAGTCAGGTATTCTCTCTCCCTTCCTCTGACGCTGATGTTTCCACCTGCCAGCCTGAAGATGATCCGTTTAAATCAAAATCTCAACTTCCAAACTCGCCTCAATTAGTAGATGACAATCCGTTCAAAACAAAACGTCAGATACCAAACTCACCTGTACAATGTGATGACAATCCCTTCAAAACGAAATCACAACTCGCAAACTCACCTCCACAAACAGTTGTTGAGTCACAGGAAAACCAAACTGATGTCAGTGCCTCAAGTGACTCTGCTCCTGCTACTTCTGTCTCAGAACATGTTCCCCCCCAAAAAGAGGAAAGCATGGATGTCAGCAAGAAGGAAAATCCTGGGAATGTCTCAGTTGATAAAATTCATCATCTTGATAAAGCTCCATCCACACCATTGTCTCATGGAAGTACAGCATCGACTTTAAGGCCTCCTGTAAGCTTACAATTCGATAGTAATCTCGATGAGAGATCAGAGGATGTAGGTCCTACTGAGAATGCATATGGAGCTACTGAAGGCAGTGGAGAATTGGATGCCATCACTGGTGCCAATGCTCAAAATGAACCAAAGGGAGATGGTATGCCCAAAAAAGAGGACGAAGAACTATTTGTTCCAGCCACTCAAGGTTTGTTTTTATATCATTTATGTAAACTTTTTTTCCTCTCTCTTTCTCTCTCTCTCTCCATTTGTCGCGGAATTGTCTGTCCCCAACATTAGTAATTTCAATTATAATTTAACTTTTAACTTCCAGCAATGTCAGTCTGTAAAATTTCATTTTGAAGTTTGAAATGTTGGAGAATTTTTTTTTGAAGAAATATCAAATAAATACAAAACTAACTAATGTCCATAAAAATTAAGCAGAAGTATGACTCATGCAGGATACAAAACTGACACCATCATTTTCCGCAATTTTGCGGGAACAATAAATGTGTTCATCAAGCTGTAGCCGCTCCCTACCCATATTCTCTCCCTCATATCCACTAATGAGAGCTATCAGCTTTACAGAAGCTTATTCTTTAGCGTGGACTGTGATTTTGTTCTAATATCATCTTTTTATTTTTTTGTCTTGTAGCGTTTGCTGATCCTGCATTTTTGGATCAATTGGAGAAAGCTCACAGTAGCAGTGTAAGTGCCCAATTTAACTAGTACTTTTTATATATATACTGCAAAATAGTTAGAAAGTCAGTATCCATGGCTTTCCTGGATTCCTCTCAATCAAAGAAAGAAGGCAGTCTAGAACACCATATTAGTCCGTCGCCATTTTGACAAAGAGTAGGCAGATATGCAGGTTAACAGGTTTCCCGAATACTCTTGTTCTTGGTTGTTTTCAAGCCTTACTGTTGTGTAGGTCAATCTTGTAGTCCCTCGCCACTAAGTCCTGTTCAACAGTTACTGTATTTTTGTGCTCCAGAAGAAGGAAAGCTTTGACATGATTCAGAGCTACTCGCAAATCTGCTACTGTGGTCATTAGGATGTCCTGATAGGTTGTGTCATGTTGAATATAGGTACACAACTGTCTAAATGGGTTAATGAAAATAGTTTTACAAGATGAGAAATTGGAAAGATCATAATGATGGCCATACTAAGGGGAAGGTGGGTATGGAATATTTTTGCCAGTTTTTTTTTTTTCTCTCTGATAATATAAGGGGTGTTTTTAATTTGGGCTGTACTCTTGAATTTCTCATTTCCAGTCAGTGGATGTAAAGAGAGGTTCTGTTCTGTTGAAGTTTGATCCTCTTCAAGAGCATCGGTTGGAAGTATCTTTTGCCAAACCTTCCAGTCCGGGTAAGTGTCACATACTGATTTACTGATTTATTTTTGTGTATAATATGTGTTTACTTTTGGTCTGGTTGTTTATAACTTTTCAGTTATCCCTGATAATGAAAGGGTTTCATTAGGGCACATTCCCACCATAACTGTATTTATGAAGTGTAGAACAGAACTGTTTTGACTTCCATTCAGTTACAAGCCTGCTTGTGACCTTTATTTTTTTTTCCACATGGGGAAAAAAAAGTCTTTTTGCTTCCTTTCTATTCGTATGAATCCTATGCAGCTTATGTTTTTTGGGAATTTAGCAAGATTCTCTAAAAGTCCTGAGACGGCATCAGGGATGTGTAAAACACTATCCACGTCATATATTTATATTACCTTTACCGTGGATATTTGTGGTGACAGTCAGCTGCAGTTCATTCTCTCACAATCCGCAGTATGTTGGTCACATACTCTTTGCAGTTCATTCCCAGGCTTTTGGGGTTTTTTTTCATTGTTCATATCAAATTGGTGTAAAGAATAGTTGGTAACAGATTTGCCCTCGAAATGTATGTGTTGTCCTTTTTTCCCTAAAAGTGCGTATATTTTTATTAACTCTCCCAAGAATCTCTGATCTGAACCCTCTTTGTGACTCTGTATTAACAATATTTATGATATTGGTCATGAATAATGCCAAAATCCTTTGTCATAATACATCTGTTGTTTTTATTTTTTCCTTTACCTTTTCCAGGTCAAGTTCAAAAAGGAACTCGTGTTTCTGATATTTTCAAGAAACAGAATAAGTCCGGATTGTGAGTGATATTCTTATTATTTTTTTATGTAATTGACCTCTATAAGATATTGCTTTTACTCTAGAACACAACAGGCTACTTCCATCACCATCTCCATAAGCTGGCCTTTGGCTTTTAAGTTCAAGTTTAATACGATTTACTTTGTGGAGGTGTGATTGTACACACTTTTTGACAGACTTTATCATTTTCATTCGCTTTCTAATTTTTTGTATCATGGCTTTGTGTTATGTCAGGGTGTAGCCACTGAGACAACTAATCCTATATTTTGAATATTTTAGCCTTTCCAGTTCAGATGAAAGTGTCTGTTTGTTCGGCACTCCGCCTAAAGTGTCTAGGAGGAGAACTCTGACTCGACAAATGCACAGCACTTGCCAGCTGTCCATAGAAGAAGAAACTCCAGCCAACCAGGTAGACATGTACTTCGACATGGACAATGACGGAGATGGTATGGCCTCAGTAAGTACTCACTATATTAAGTTTTTTCTCAAATCCTGGTGGCTTCTTGAGTATAAGATTTTTTTAAAATATATAAGTTGCCTGATAACTAAAAGTAAAACATACTTAACAATCCTGTTCTTATCTTATTTAATTTATTAGAAGAATAAGAAACACATGCTTTGATTCTTTTTCAAAGAAAAATGTGGGTTTTCTTTTTCTATACATTCTTTAGAATTCAACTTGCACTGTGGTATATATTATCTACATCTTTGGTTGTTTTTGTTTCTATGTTGTTTATTATAAGTTTTCACTCAGCGAAAGCGAAATACCACAAATGTTAATAATTGTATTGCACCCTGGGCTTCATCATATTTTCCATTCTATTAAGTTGGTTTTTTTTCCACCAGATTTTATCTGACAACTTGTTACCCGAAGAAAGCAAAGAGGGAAAGTTGGTGGATGTCGTTGAGGTAGGTCAAATACTTCCCATGAAATGCAACAAGTTTGTAATTATATTCTTCTTCTACGAGTGCTGTAACAAAATTATGTCTTAGCAGGTTAGTTGGGGGGGGGTTTTCCCCCTCCCTCTGGTATCCTTAGGATGTCGAGCGGATGTGCATGTTTCGGTCCTGTGCTAAGTGTGTGGCGTCTGTGATAGATCATGTTGTTCCAGGACCCCATCCAGCCAGGTCTTACTTAGTCTTCCTCTTGATTGGAAGCCAGATTCACGGGTGTGGTAAGCTCTTGCTGCTAGTTGTTTCTGGGGCATTCGGGTTAGATGTCCGAACTATTTGATTCTTTCATGCTATATGAAATTCATAAGTGGTTGTATTCAGGCTTGTGGGCATATGGTGTCGTTCCTGATGCGGTCTTTTCTGGTGACACCGATGGTTTGCAGAGACACCTCATTTCGCTTACATTGATTTGTTTTTCCTTGTGCTTTATTTAGGGACCACATATATGGCACTGGTATGTTAAAGTTGGTATGAAGATAGAATTGATCATTGGTAAGCTGGGTTTTGACTTCAATTGGGATGCTCTTGTGACTGAGCAGAGATGCTAGCTGGTAGGTCACTGCATTTGCCTTCTTAGTTCTTGTTTTTATCACTTTGTCCATATGCCCATCTTGTGTGAAGATACTTCATAAATATTTGAATTCCTCTACTTGTTGGGGTTGTGTTCTGTCAATAAGGATGTTGAGTTTCTCTGAGTTTCTGCTGACCTTCATAACTTCTGGTCAGTTTTTGAAGTGAATTCAGACAAATATTTGGAAAGTGTCAAGTCATTGTAGCTTGTGTCGATGGAATTTATTAGCATGTACATTTTTGGAAGTTTTTATTCACTGCGATGAGCCTATGAATAAGTTTCAAGAAGCAAACAATGGAAGTTTTCAGAATTTTTCCTTGAAATGAGAAAGGAAGATGCTGTTTATACTTGATCATTTGCATAAAAGTTGGTTTTGTTCCGCCGTATTGGTTTCTAGGTTGGAGTTATGGGTGGCATATGGGTAACCTTGCTGTCATGCTCTATGTGCGGCTACACTTCTCAGTCTTGACTATCAAAGGCCTCATGCTCTTTTACATTTGTTCCAGATGCCAAAGTACACAGAAAGTGACTTGAAAAATATCCGCAGTAATTTGACCCTTCAGTATCAAGAGCTCATGCTGAAAAAGGATAGGGAATTCCAAGAGAGGCTCAAGGAACAGCAGGAAAAGAATGCAGCCAGACTGGCAGATGTGGAGAAGGAAAAGACTAGCCTACTGGCCACTGCTGAAGAAGAGAAGGCAAAGCTTAAGGAAGCAATGGATAGCTTGACCAAAAAAAATAAAGCTCAGAAGCAGAGTCTTGGCAATTCACAGTGAGTCTTTAATCTCATGAATAAATATGTTATGATATTGTGATTGTCATTTCACATGTCTGTTATTTAAGAATGTAGATGTGTAGATACACAGGAAATTTTGCCTCAGATCCCTCCACCTGCTTTCAGGTTTGATTTTCATCCTGAAGTTCGAAAGGAATTAATTTTTACTATTAAGGCTGTTTCCCCTCTTCCTTCCCATCTCTCGCTCTCTCCCTCAATTGTTCTCTTAATACTCTTTATATCCGGATTTTGTGGACAGAAATCTGTAGGAAGAGAATATGAACTTAAAGGGAATTGATTTCAGATGCTGTTTCAAAAGTCGATGTAGTTTTATTATAGATACATTTGAACTCATTTGATTAGTCAATTTTATCGACAAATGTTCGCCTTTTACAAAACCTATGAGAGTCTCTCTTGTTGATTTCTCTATAAGGAGGACAATTCTTACTCAATTATGGGTTGTTCCCAACTTTAACATAGCTGACGTCCCGTCCCCTTTCTCTAATTGATCTGCTTGTTCCTGATACTTGAATGAAGAGTGCTATATTTATACAAATAAACTAGTGATGGTGGAGCAAGCAGTAACTACGATTAGAGAATTTCAAATATTGAAATGCATATGTGAGGCAGCGTGGTGAAATCAGGCGCTCGTCAAAACACAGAAATTGGAGAAACAGGCATTTTTCCGTCAGTTTGGATTTTTTTTCTTCTAATTTTTGTTTTTTGGCTCCACACCTTGTATGTTCATTCAGAAACACTTTTATGAAGCCACCAAACTTTGGCGGCCATTTGCTCGCTAATTTTACTTCTGAAAATTGGCGACCGTATCTCCTTCAGTCGCAAATATCTTGACTTCTATTAAAGATAAATTTATATTTTTTTCATCCAGAGCAAAGCAGATGAACAGACTTTAAGATGATACCAATAACTCCATATGCCCCAAAACTGAGGAGCGCCTGATTTCACTGCGTCTTGACACATATGATCTTGCAAAACACTATTTCAAAAACCCATTCTTATATACCAGGGCTAAAATTTGATGTGTTTATGGGAGTTATTCGTTTAGTAAGGAAAGATTTCACATTGTCCTGTTTAAAAACTTGTTTTCTGTCTCTCTGATCACCAGGAAACTGATGAATGAATTTGATGAAATCATCAAGCAGCTGACCAGTAAGTAATGCCTCTTAGATAACCTAATAGTGTTGATAGGGGCGTTAAACCTATACCATTTCACCAGTAAGTAACATTGGATGAAATAAAAGCCTTTTGTTTCCCTACATTCTGTTGCCTTTTAACATTTTATAGTCAGCAGGCACTTAGAGAAAGAAACCCAAAGATTGCTAAGCTAGATTAGAGTAAAAACTGAGGGTTAGTCAGTAGGCCCACTGGAAATAGTAACCAAAGTGTCTGTAATAATAACTCTTGCTTGTTGCAACATGAGGACCCCATGCAGACAGGTACAGACTTGTTTTTGATGGATATGTGTATGCAGTGTTTGACTGTAAAACATTATAAAAGAGAATAAGAGATTCATAGCTCTTGCAACAGCTTTTCTGGCTGCTCCCCCCACACCCACTCTCAAATCTTAGACAAAACACGAAATGAAACTTATCATATAAAACTGCAGTTTATTCTTCATGATGGCCCTGTACCAGAGGGTACGGGGTTAAAGGTAGCATGATTGACATTAACAATTTTTTAAACATCATTATTGGTGAGAACTGCTATTACCTTATGGAATATTATGTCATTATGGGTATTTTGCTTTTCTATTTTGAACAACTTGATGACTCTTACTACGAGAAAAGAGGATTTAAGACATTCTTTTTTACATACATAATGATTGCAAGCTGCAGGTATTTCTGTGGTGAGGGCATAATGTGGTTAGTAACGATCTTTACAACATTACATCTGAGAGAACTGCTTGGTGTATGTTATAGATTGTTTCTATTTATTGAGACTAGGTTGCCATATTTCTGATAATCCCCTAGGTGCCTGGATGTTTGTTTCTATGAAGTTTTTATTGTGCTTTCTCAGAGGACAAAGAGGAGCTGAATGTGCAGCTGTCCCAGGCAACAAAGCAGGGTGAACTTGTAAGTTTCATGTGTGACAGATGCTCTTATCACTGGCAAAGAAAATGTAAATGAACATTCGAAAAACTAGGCTGTAAGGTAGTTTTACTTCTCTGGAATAATATTAGATATATTATACACAAGTACTGTACTTTGTGCACCCTTTTCTTATCAATTGCAGTATGTCGTACAGAATTTAAACATATATGCCTGGGTGGTTGGCGGGTGCCCTGGTGTGGTTTGCTTCTTCTTTCCTATTAAACATCTATCATCCTTATCTCCCCTTCTTTTTTTTTGTTTATTACTCTCTTGTAACACCTCTGATCTTCTGGCGCTCATATGGCCCTATGCAGTTGCGAGCTCCGTAAAACATCTTCTGGAAAAAAAACCTTATATGCAGATGAAAAGATAGAGTGGTTATAGGAAATGTCAGTTCACTTATTGAGCCAGTTTCCTTTAATATCATAGAGTCCACTGTAATTGAAAGTAAGCCGTGATTTAGTTGCAGTTTTACTTTCTTTAGCCTTGACTCTCTTTTTCCCTTCAGTACCTCCAAGATAATAAAGAACTGGAAAAGTCTTTTGATGACCTCTTACATCGCTATGACAAACTGAAGGCCACTCTGGAGAAAGCTGCAAAGGTGGGCATCGTAAATTATCCTTCTAACACTGTGTTTATGAGTCTTGTTTGTTTCAAGTTATATTGAAGCACAGAAGCTCAGGATTTATTTATATTATTACTGTGCTTTGTATCATCTTGGCAACAGGTAAGAATAACAGAAAAATAGGAAAAAGCTACATGTATCTCCATCTAGTGTTCTCATCTAACCTGTTTACCCTCAGTACCATCAATAAGATAATTTTTATATATACCCCGTGTATGTGTCTTCATTGACACACAAACAATGAAATGTATTTTGCCTTTTAGGGTATTCCTTGGTACGTTTAAAGGGTTTACATGCATAATTACGTTCATGGAGTTTCAATTAGATTTCAGCAGATTTGTTGACTTATGATTATTGTTTGTTTTTGTTTTTTTTCTCTTTGTAGAATGAGAAAGTGCTGACACAAGCCGTTCAAGGTGCTCAAGAGAAGTTCAAGAGTGTTCAGGAAACTTCCAAGAAGATCAAGGACACAGCAAAAACAAAGCTATCAGAGTATGTGCTATTTATATCTTTAACTTTTCTAACTGTAATGATAATAATACTGGGAAGTTATGTCGTGCCTAATCTCTAGGAAACCTCTGATTCTGAGGGCTATACAATTCAGAATTATCACTCAACTGACAAATCAAAAGGCAGAAAATTCACATTTTGGGACCATTTAACACACAAACACACACACACTCACATTGTTGCATTCAAAATTTACTGGCAGAGGGTAGTGTTGAACGAATGTGTCTTTAGGCTTTTTTTAACACTTTGCAGTCACTTGGCGCAGGTGAAAATTATCCGTTCCGGTCACCTGGCGCCCGTTGCAGTCACTCTCCTGACTGGGTGACCAGATGGGGTATTTTGTACTGCTGGCTGTGTGACTGCAAAATGTTAAACTCTCTGTGATGTTATAAAACATATTTCTTTTGTGAGAAAATTCCAAATCTTCAGGGCATAGGAAGAAAAAACTTTCCACCCGACTTGTTAAACTTTTCTGCTCGTTAATGAGATTCTCATCTGTTTTGAGGCTTTGTTGTTCATGCACTTATGACACAAAAGAGCAATTTTGTATTCAATTCCAACTTTTAACTGGTAGCCAATGCAGATTTATCATTAAAGGTGTGTTGCGTTATTTTGGGATTTTCTTGAAGTTAAATTGTGTAGCTCTGTTTTGGAACTATTACAGTCAATAATCATTTCCAAGATGCCAAGAAGAGAATTATTACAGTACTCAAGTCTCAATATATAAGAAATGCTGAGATGAGAATCTGGAGAACATTTTTATTCGTAAGATGAGAAATTTGACTTATTCTCCTTAATTCACAATTGTTTGCATATGTAGACCAAGCTTCGGATATCTCGGGGTTTTGTCTAAATATCAAATGGCTTGCTGATCCACATTTTTGTCCTTAACCCTTTCGTTGCCAGGGGTTATATGTTCCTAACTATCTGCACTGATTTTCAGCTTAGCTCGTTACCCAAGACAGCAGACTAATGTCCCAGTGCTAAAGGACGCGCAGTCTAGATCTAGCGTACTCGTAACATATTTTGGATACCAGGTCTTCGATTGTGTCACTTTTCTCGCTTTACTTATACCCCATTTCCTCCCTTCTTACTCATAATTTTGAATAACCTGCACATCTAAGTCAAAAAGTGAGTTTATTTGCCTTTTTAAAGTCATTTCGACGTTAACATTTTACGAGAGCATGCGGCCGCCCGCAAGCCTAGATCTATATTTATTTATCGCTTGCAAGCCTAGCAATTAAGTAATACTAGCAAAATTGGTACCGATATGCAAGTCTTTTATTCCCAAATACAAATCTATGCAGCGCTTGTGGCTGAAACTCTGCACAGAAGAATTAGAGCCAGGTTATTAACGTGACGTACATGTAATGTCATATAGACAACCAGGAGCAGCAAGTTTTGCCAACTTCCGTGACGTACATGGAACAGCACAGCGCTAAAAATGGCGCATTTTCATGACGTACCAGGTACATTATAAGGCAACAGAGGGGTTAACTCACTGGAGACTGGGCCTTTTTGCGTGTCTATGTGCGCTGAAGACTGGCATTTTTGGGCGAATTTCAATATTTCAAACAACACCCTTCCCAAAGTCATACAACCACTATTGTTACACGCATAACAGAACTAAACATGCCCACTATGACACACAAAAACAGAAAGGCAATATCTTCTATTTTTTTATTTATAGTTTTTTAGAAATGGTTTTTTCAAATGTGGTAAAATTTGTTCCTCGCCAGAATTTTTAATTGTAATGTCTTGTTTAAAAAGAAAAAAAATTAACCTTGTGTGTGTCTTTTATGGTGTTTTGTTTCAAAATGAATCAAAAGTCCAATCTCATGAAAAGGCAGGAAATCAATATGGTAATCCTTATGTATTAACTGTCTAATCGACTTCAGTGTGAAAAAAGCAGGGCTCCAGCCAAAGCGGAATTTTGCATTTGAAAGTTTAGTCTAGATCTAGAACATTGTCTATCAGAATCAGTGCTTTGATGCTCATTTACATTGAAATCAGGATCCCCGTGGCCTAAAATATCATAATCAGAATTTTCTGAACTGTCAAAGTCGTCAAACACTTGAAAAATGTTTGCTTTTTGTGCTGCCAAGTGGGTGGTTGGCAGGTGCTCTGGTGTGGTTTGCTCCTTCTTTCCTATCAAACAACTCTCGTCCTGATCTCTCCTCCTTCTTTTTTTGTGTTTCTTACTCTCTTGTAACACCTAATCTTTGGCACTTATATGACCTTATTGTGTTGCAAGTGCCGTAAAACTCTTACTAAAGTGTTGCGAGAACAGACACCAGTCAGAGAAATGAAGTGGGTGGTTGGCGGGTGCTCTGGTGTGGTTTGCTTCTTCTTTCCTATCAAACATCTATCGTCCTTATCTCCCCTTCTTCTTTTTTATGTTTGTTACTCTCTTGTAACACCTAATCTTCTGGCGCTCATATGACCTTATGCAGTTGCGAGCGCCGTAAAACCCTCTACTAAAAAAAAGAGAGAGAAACGAAAGTAGGGCCTCAGTGTGACTTTCTTTCCTTCCCGGTCGATAACTCTAAAAGTTTCCAGCCAATTTCGGTGAAACTTTGCACGAAACGAAACAAAGGTCGGCTGCAGGGTAAGAGGTGGTTCAAGCAGCTTTTGCGCGCATACTTTAACGAGGAGAAAACGCGAAACTTGTGCTCACAGGGGGTACATGAACCGCCTCTCAGGAAAATATTGGTGCTCGCAAATGCGGCGTGAAACGTCTCCAGTGAGTTAGCATATCATGTTTATATTTAAAACAAAAGTAAAACTTTTGTCTGCTTTTGGCCAATTTACCTTCCTTTAAGAGATTCTTGCTGTCTGACATCTGTTAGGATTTATAAATACCAAATAAGGAGGAAGAAATATATTGTCATTTCAGGCAAGAAGAGAAGTATAACAAATTAGAGACATCCAGCAAGGCTGAAATCACAAGGCTTGAGGCAGCTTTGAAGAGAAAAGAAATGGATGTGACAAGACTGGAATCAACATTGCAACAAAAGGTAACTTTGGGGTTGTTGTTTTGTTTTGTTTTGTTTGTTTTTTGGGGGGGGGTTTTAATTCAGTTCTGTCTCGTGTAGATCTGAATTTGTTTTGGTGACCCAGGAACAAAAGCCACAGTTTGGAAACCAATATTGATCTTATAGTTTACATTCCCACAAAATGGCCTGTTGTAACAAAGTGCCTGTTTCGATCTTCAACTCATCCACCTTTGATAGTTGATAGATTTAAAGATTTTTCCTCATGCTTTCTCCATGGCCCTGCTCCTAAGACTTTTAGGATTGAGCACCCAGTCGGGCAGGGGAGGGGTGGTGCTCAGTGGTTCTACAGGCAACAGGTATCGTGTTTGCCTGTCAACTCAAAGGTCTGGAGTTCAGTCGACGTTGTTGTTTTCTACAGCCCCTGATCCTATGGTAGAAGTCTTGTGTGGAAGTCTTGCTCATTAAACATCCCTTGTCAGATCTAAAGATTGAGAAAAGTGGACTCTTTAGACCACTGTCCGTGCAAAATTCAAAATTGATCCCTACCCAAAGCAAAAAAAAAAAAAAGAATATTTTAAATAATTAATGTATGTGTTTTTACGCCCTCATCGACACAATTTAGATCGTTTAGAAGGAGGGCTTCCAACCTTGCCTGTCAGGGCTGTCCCAGGTTGAGCAGGATACAACATACCAACGGAAAAACTCTATAAAAGTTCACCCCATCTGGGAATCGGAACTCTGATTTCCTGCATGGGACAATGAAACACCTAAGCCCTACACCACAGACAGAAGGCCCAAAACTGAAGCCTTTCTAGTCAATATTAACATTTTAAGAGTACCTCCAAAAAGGGATGTGGTTTCCTGTAAGACAAGGGATGATTCTACATTCTGTCTCGATAAAATGGACGAGTACATAAAAATCAGCTGTACAGAGAGGTGAAGATTTTATTGTCAGTTACCCCCTGATCTCTATCAGAGGCACAGAGAACAAGAAAAAGAGCACCTGGTCTTCTCAAATACAGTTGATTAACTCCAAGATCCCATCATCACCCTGCTTGCATTAAAGTATTGAAAAATGATAACTGAGCCATTGAAAGCCTTAACTGTTTAAACATGGACAGCGTTCACAGCGTTAGTTGGAAAATCCCGCAACCAGGGTAGAACACTGTCAGTTTTCATTGATATTTTTCATCTCTTTCATTATTTCTGCCGAACCCCTTTCTCAACAAAGACTAGTCACACAATCACAATTCCTTTATTGTCAGCTTCTGCTTCCAGTAATCTTTGATTAGATATATGACTTGACTATTATAATTATTTCTGCACATCCTGGGTGGTTTACATTGGCTAGCAAAAATTTCACCGAAAATAGATTTCTCAAAAACGTGCTGAAAATCGCGTGTTCAAAAAGTAAAGAGTTAGTTTGATACTTGAAAAAAATTGTTATTCAACCCTGTCCCAAGTTTCAAGATCTTGGAAGTCTAGTCAGTACAATCAGAGAACCTTTTAATATAAAGTATTTAGAGACTCCTGAAAGGAAATGGTCATTATGTTTTTAAAGAAAAATAGGCCTTATCTGAACAATACGGTTCCCCTAAGAATAGAAGAAATTGCAATAGACTACCTTTTGATATTGCTGGATGAACTTGAAAAATTTAAGCCATTTCAAGTGAAATTTTTAAAATCTCATAGTTTGTGTGAACATTGACTTTTGCACTGACAGCTTGATATAGTTATTGGAGCAGATTCCTCTCTTTTTTGCAAATAAAACATCCTCATTGATCATTCAGAGCACACTACTTTTGACAGAAAAGGTCTTGTCTAATCTCACTACTCACTGCATTTTTTTTTTTTGGCCTTGTCTGTTTCAGGTGGCCGAAAACAAGGAGCTCACTGACCTGTGTGATTCTCTGATCAGCAAAGTGTCTTAATGGGGTTGTTCTTTGTTTTTGTTGGGTTTTTTCTATAAATAATATTCATTTTCTTGGTTTGTAAGTTGACAGTTTTGTTTTGTATTTACATGTACATATTATTCATCATTGTGATTTGTTGTTCCCATACAGTTTACTTGTTCTCATTAGCAAATCAGCATCAAAAGATGCTGCTAACCTCAACATTTTTTTCTGCTATTTAGAAAAAGAGGTCATTGATCTGGACTTCAGAAAATGTATATTCCAGAATTTTTCTCTGCATTTGTTTGAAATTTGAAGCAAGAAAATGGGAGAGATATTGACGATAGTCTTCTGTTATCATATCATGTCTTTATCATCATGTTTTCTTAGGATATTCATTAATAATTATTATCTTGAGCTTCTGTCTAGTGGAACAAAAGTTATATGTATGGTGTGATGGTTAGGCTCTTTGCCTTGATAGCTGAATACATTAATCTCCGCCTAAGATCCCAGTCGTTGGGAGAAAGGAAAATGCGAGGTATTTGGAGAACGGGATCTTACCCTACGCACCAAGGGGAGAATCCACAGTGACTCATGATCAGGTCCACTATCTGTGAAATGATTCTGCTTTACTCGGAAATGAACTGGCATGACCCTGGGGTGGGTTTATGACTCATGATGAGGAAAGAGTGGGCAATGTTGATGACCAATCACTATTGCATGAGGCTTGCAATTTCCACTTATTCAACCACGAGTCTCAAGATCTACGTCTATCTTGTTGCTCCTCCCCTGTACCTGTCCAAGATTTACAGCTTTCTATCTCTAAGAGAGTTCCCCCGCCTCTATTGCGTTTTGACCGCTCCAATTAAAATTCAGTCTCTCTAGAAACTGCTGCTGTGATCCCACTTTGTGCGGTCATGTAGGCCCTACCTACACGTGTATGGTGTACGACCAGGTGGTGAGCTCATATGCTGGTGAGGTGTTTGAGGAAAACAAAGACATCTGTGTGATCCTGTCTGGGGCAAACATTGTACCGTTTCATCGAGATTTATAACGGAGCTGTGATCACATTCACGATGCGGGCAATACAATGATCACTAAATTTTCACTGCTTGGTTGATTAACTGCGCCCGCCCAGGTTTTTGTTTCGTAAATTATTATCTGAAATGCGGGATCATAGGGATGATTTTTGTGTAGTATAAATTATGTTTTCTTAAAACAATAGGATCTTTATCCAACCGAGATCATAAACGGTGGGATCTTAGGGAGAGACTACTGTATATACATGAGGTCATTTCGCATGTGGCCGTGATTATTTTGTCTTACTACTCGGACTTGGTGTCCCACTCTGCCTGGAGTGGCTCTGACTGGCATGGATGAAGCAGTCCGTCTTTTTAATGATCTTGATTGTGGCGATGGAGGCATAAAAGATTGTATAAAGTACTTTTTGGATTTTGTTTTTCTCGTAATTCCCAACATTTTTCATTTTTAACATAAAGTGCTCTGGTGGTTTCAATGCAGATTTTTATTGTGAATAAGACATGCATTAAAAATATGTAACTGTTTTTTTTCTACTACAAATCAAATGTACAAGTCAAGCATGTTGGACTTGAGCATTCGTAGTATGAAATGTTGGATAACTCGTTGACTTAAAGTCTGGTGAAGCGAATTCAAGTGAATTGTGCTTCATTGTGTTACTTAGCTTTCAGTTTATAAGAGAACCTGGAAGGCAAGGCAAATTATGTTATAGGCTATGCATGCATTGCTATCTTAAGTCATTGTGTGCCTTTTTTCTTTAAACTTAAACTTGAGTTGTGTTTACGCCCCCATCAGCACAATTTAGATCATTAAAGAGGTGATTGTCTTCTATGTGATATAGCTGACAACGCAGATTTGTTTGTAACAAATGAGTTTCTTTCAAATGGCACCACCATATGTAACCCTCTCTTTGATCTTGTCATTTACTTGTCACCCTCAGAGAAGAGGCTGTGTGGAAAGTGCATTCTAGTAGTACTGGTGCTTGTGAATGTATTGTGATTACCACTATTGTAGAGTCCGCTTAAACCAAAATCTGCGGGACTCCCAGATTCACTTCGGATCAGCCCTGTTTTCAGTTCAGAGAGATTGCCCAAATTAATAGTGAATAGTAAAAAAAATAGGATTCTATTTTCTTTTTGGTTTTCCGCTGTGTTTGGTTTAAGTGGACTCCAGTGTATAACTATATTTTGCATTTTGTTTTTTGAATTATGTTATTCAGTCTTAACTGTTGCCTTTTTGGTCTTCGTCCAGTTTGAGACAGCTTGCCCGCACATTTGATTCATTTTTAAGTATGCTATGAATTATGAAAATGCTGATGATTTGTAAATCAATATCATATCTCCCAAGTCCTTCCTTTACTTCTGTCTATCATTTGCTTCTGTGGATGCTACACTTGACTACTATTGATATATTATGCTTCTGCTTGTCTTGAACCACTTCCACTTTCATTCTATTATGTCACCTATCTCTGAGTAATTGAATGTGTTGTGTTTTGTTTTGTTCCTCACATCACACCCAAGCTTCTCACCTACATGATGTTGCTTGTAGTTTTTGTTATGTTCTTATGTTTACTTTTCACATTGTCTTGATCTAAATCAAAATGATCAAACTGTTCCATCTTTTACTGACTATCCCAGATTTCTAACTGACCATTTGTGTGTTTATGAAACCCTTGGCCTTGATCTAAAATCAGTGCACACCGTTTGAAACCACCTGTTACACATTCTTGTGCCTTATGTAAATCTATTTTTTTCCACTGTCTTGGAACTTTATTAAATTATCAATAAAGCCATCTTCATTCTAAGAATGTCATTCATGCCTTTTTATTTTGCAAGAGTGATTTTCCACTGAGGTATTTCACTAATTTTCCTGTAGCGGGTTCTCAGAGAATCCAGCTAGGACTAGAAGCTGTCAGTCTGTCTTTTAGTTTTTTTTCCACTGCTGTATTGTCAGTGTGATTCTTTAGATGCAGAAGTCTGGAATCAAGTTTTTTTTAGCCACTTAAGCATCTGAAAGGGACTCCACGGTGTGTGGCCTACGCAGAGATAAAAATATTTAAGAGTCCAGTCGTGGCCAACATCAAGAAATAATGAGTATAGTATGACCAACCAGCAATACAAGGCATACAACGCCTTGAATCACTTGAGAAACATATTCTGGTGTGTACTTGGCGGGTGCTCTGATGAGATTTGCTCCTTCTTTCCTTAAAAACATTACTTACTACCCATTACGCCATCTGGCGTTTAGGGCAGCAACAAAGGATCTCTAGCTCTCTGTTTTGGGCCATCTTGGTCAGCGTTCCCCACGAATGATTCCAGGACTTCATTTCAGACTCTACTGTGCATCTCCAGGTCACTTTGGGTCTGCCCCTTTTGCGACGTCCTTCGGGTGTCCAGTGGAGGGCAGTCTTCACAATAGAGTCTGGAACATTATCATCCTTCAATCTCTCCTTTTTTGGTGTTTATAAAATTTCTCTTGTAACACCTCTAATCTTCTGCACTTATATGACCTAATTGTCTTGCAAGTGCCATAAAACGCAAACTAAAACATCCTCTGAAAGGAAGCAAAGGTTGAGGGGGGACCTAACAGAAGGCGGGAACAGTACATAGAAACCTAACGATACAGGCAGGCAGAATGGCACGAGACAGTGATTCATTGCAGAAAGGTCAAAGAAGCAATGTCCAACTGCTGTAAAAGCTAAGAAGGTGGGAAACATAGCTGATCTTCATATAAACCATTTGCACTGCTGGATTCTGAAACCCCTCAGATTGCCTCTTGTCAGTTTCAAAGGTTATTTTATGCTGAGCAAACGTCTGCTCAATTTTGGGACCAGAACTTGATAAAAACTAAGACTGGGGGCTCTTGTGGCCTAAAGGTTAAGGCAGGTGTTAGCCTCTCATTCAGAAGGTCCCGGGTTTGAAACTGGGTCATCATCATCATCCAGTGCCAGATCTGCCACAGACATCGGCGATCATGGGTCTCCATTCATTTGCTAGGATGCTCTGAAAAAAGCTACGTTTCCCTGATCTTTCCCTGTCACCCACTTGTTCAGATTCCCCTAGGTTGCTCTGGGTCTACCCCTGCCTCACTGGGCAGCGACGGAAAAATTTTCTTCTCTCAAATTTTCTCCTTTCACATCCTTTCCTGCTCTCTAAAAATGTTATGTCGTCTGCTTTCGTCTCCACTTTCTGCCCCCACCCCTTCACCTCCTTTGCACCCTCCTCTGGGCTCCTGACTCTTTCTGCGACCTTTCTACTGCTCCTCCTTGGCTCCTTACTGCTGTCTTTCAACCACATCCCTGATCTTATGGTAGGTAAGATTCCTATACTGAAAGCAAGAGTCTAAATTTTAGTGAGTTGTAAGAGTGTAGTTGCTTGAGGGTTCAAGTTACAGTCGCATATTCCTTAAGAGAGGCATTTAACTGTCCACCTAGTTGCAAATGAGAGAGGAACTTGGGAATGATGGAGATAAGCACCACAAGCCTAGCCTTCATGGACAAGGGCAAAAAATCTCGGAAGTCCCGCCTGCAAGTTGTGCATGTATTATTAAAGATCCCTTTAGTGGTCCAAAATCGATAAGAGTAGGCTTCAGCCACCACCCAGGCAAAACTCAAAATTTTTTACCAAAGGAAAATGTTTGGTGTGTCCAGCACGCTCATATGACCTTCTGCACTTGTGAGCGCCGTAAAACACTGACCAAAAACCCCCCATCTAAGACTGGTCTCTTCACACTACAGTTAAGAGAACAATTCAGTGGTCTGAAAAAGAGGGAGTGAGTCTGAATCAGTATATAATATACTGATACGTTTTAATGTATCAGCATCAGATGCTTCAAATATATGTCCTGCCATTTGTGAATCACTGATCTACAGACACATAGACACAAAAACTATGAAATGACACAGGCACAAATTTTATTCTTAAAAATGAATATATCACAGGCTGTAAAAAATAGAAATACAAATTCACAATAAAGCAAGAACTCATAACCATGCACCCATAATTAGTTAAAACAGCTGACAGATCTATGAGGGCACCAGCAGTAGCCTACTGTAGAAAGTTGAAAAAAGCCAGGAGCCTCAGTGCCTCTTAATCTATGGGATTTGTATCCATTAGCCTCCACAAGTAACAAACTTACTACACAAAAAACTTGCAAATGTTCCTGCTACACTGAAGAAGTAAACGAGTTGTCCAGTGCTTTCATTACTGCAGCCTCCCCTCCCCTTCCACCAATCTAAACTGAAATAAAAGAAATTTTATTTAAATTCAAATAAAGCAAAAAAGATCTAAGTAAGACTAAATGCACATTAAGTTATCTCGCATCTAAATCTAAGGACCAAGCCTCTAAAAGGCACCTGCCTGTACCAGGAGTTATTTATTCTTCAGGAAGACAATGAGTCGGCTATCAGTATCGATTAAAATGTGCGCCTTCAATACCATTCCCTGAAAAACTTAATTAACAATACTTCAGATATATTAATGATGGACCAAATCAGAATACAAGAAGGCCCATTGGCTCTATACAGGGACAGTCAAGACAACGAAAACAAATAAGCATAAAAACTGTCAATAGTCCTAAAGTATGTTTTCTCACATGCACTGTTGACTGTTAATGTTATTGTACAGGTAATACAGTGGAGTCCATTTAAACCGAACACGGTTATCAAAATATGGTGGTACCCTGAACCAAAAAAAATTAAATTCCCAATTTTTTTTCTTCTGTTTCACCAAACTCTCTCAATCAAAAACATGGCTAAACCAAAGAAAATCTGGCGGTCCCACAGATTCCTATCAGCGGACTCCAGTTAAATCTTATATGACAGCCATTCTATTTTTTTACAATAACAAGTTATATAGTTCCACGCATTCTTTGTATTATTTGTGTAACATATTGAAATCCACAATTTGAACAAAACAGAATTACAGAGTCTCTGCTTTTCATGCCCTTCACAACTTTATTTCTTCAAAATTATAGATTTAAAATACAGATTCCTATACTGAAAGGCATTTTACTCAGTCCACCTAGTTGCAAATGATACTCGGCCATCAGCAGAGAGGAACTTGGGAATGATGGCGATAAGCACCAAACATGCCATAAAACCTGACGGACAGAGACTTCAATGGAATGAGCTGTCAAGTGAGTAATTGTGAAAGTCATGTCTTCTAAGAAAAATATAGATGAAAACAACTGTGCTATTTTAGGAGAAACTGAGGGAAGTCTCTTATTAACAGAACTCCTTCAAAGCAAATTCAGACATGTCACGAGCATCTGTTGGACCAGCTTTCCTCTGATATTTTATTCCTTGCAAAATCTTAATTTGTGTATTAGCCTTTGAACAATAGCCTTCACGTACGGAATTCTTTTCATCCAATCGTACATCATTGTCAGAAAGTAAACTAGCAAAATGGGATCAAACAAAAAATATACATGAGTGTGTGAAGATATGTTACTTTTTAGCACTCATTTTTTTGAACCAAGGTTTTCCTGCCTTTCTGAGAAATAAAATTATTTCATATCAGCTCAATCTAGAATAATAGAAGTCATTATCATTCAAAACAGATAATGCTGCAGAAACGAATGACAGATACAGGCTCCCTTCTTTGCGTAGGAGACTAAGAAAAAAACAAACTATTAAATGAATGAACTGCTATATAATATAGTACATGCATGTATGACTCATATTAAGATAATGACTCATCTCACTATAAAGCTGACTTGTAATTAAATTAAATAAAGTTGCCAAGCCCAAAACCATGTTACAGCATAAAGGATTACAAAGTATGAGAAACTAATATAACAATAGTAGTGGTATACGCTATATAAATGAAGCTGCCCAGTTTGCAGAAAACAGCTCAGCTGCCACGGGTGGCCTGGTGCTGCATGAAATCTGCTGGACAACTTCCAACAACAAGACTAGAAGCAGCAAAAATCACATTGTATCCTTGCTGATTTCTCGTCTAAAAAAACCAAAAAAATTTATTTGAACATAAGGAAAGGTAAAATGCATGACTTCAGGATTCTCACTCAGACAATCTTGAATTCCGGTCATTCCTGTTTCGCCCTGGAACACTACACATCTGAACAATGGCAAAACTTGACAAACTTTTAAAAGACTAAAATACATGTAGATAAACCGCAGCTAGTGATATGTATTGTAAATTTTAAGGCGCGTAAATCTCAACACATAGGCTAAATCTTCCTCCCATCAAAGCCGTAAAATTTAACGGCAATCAACATCAATGACAGGAACTGTACTATAAGCTGACTAGCCTAAATGGCTCGGACTTAGGAAAACAACCACTTTTGTTCTAACATCAGAACTTTTCTTTTTAAAAAGAGATAAGAAAAAATCTCACTGCCTCCCAGCCTTTTCTTCCGTAAAATGCAATCGAAACAAAGAAAGACTTGCAACTAGTATTCTAAAAAATTCACATAGCATACTAAGAAGATTAGGGGCAATTAGGAAAAAATAAGTGTACAGACAGCATATATTCAGGCCAACAATTTTCCCTTCTCTTCCTGTCATTTCTCTTTAACGCTCCACCTTCCTTTCTCTGACAGCCACACACAAACACTAAAGTACAGAAACACACCCTTGCACTCAAACAAAAACACACCCATACCGTTACATTACTTTTTGGGATTTAATTACTCATTCATACTAGACTAATAGGAACATAGAAAAGTAAACTAACCTATAACAAAGTTCAAAGTTCCTTCAGCACTGCAAGACACACAGGGCCCTGAGACAGGAAACGTGGCCAACCCCACTGACGCTACAAGAGAAGTTATACAGGCCGCCAG